CAACCTTGAAATACTAGAACAAAAAGGATGAAGTGAGAGGTTTGATGTGCAGAGGAGACGAGTGGGTGGACACAAAAAGTTTGAATGTGACGTGTATGATAAAAAGAAAACTTTTTTCCCAAAATGAGATATCACCTAATAAACACTTGCTGTGGTTAAAATGACTTTGCATTGAAAAAACTGCAGATTATGCATACATTTAAACGACTACCAATTGAATCGTCTTAATTTTCAACTAATTTTCCAACTTGTTTAATTCCTCACCTGTAAGTCATCCTGGTTAGTCCTGTACTGGTCCTTCAAAACCGAGGTTCTAGCGCCCTCTTCCCGCCTCACCCCTTTGTCTCTTTTCACATCCGGGCTCCAGAAGTTGACATTGTTCACACTCTGGCCCATCCTTCCATCCCTCCCTACGTCCAGTTCTTTCCTCAGATTGTCATTCTCCCTCTGCAGCTCCCTCAGCTGAGCTTGGAGATCAAACGTGGAAAGGTCCCCCCGACCAGTCGAGTCCTGCGCCTGGGGATGCCTCCCAGACTGGCGCCGAAGGCTGGAGTTTCCTGTCGGATGCAAGGCTTGATCTCCATAGAGGTCTGATGAGTGATGCAGCCCATAAGAGGTGATGTTTGGGCTGCTTCCTATGGCCGTGGTACGATTAGTGTAGGAAGAGCGGTTGGTGCTCCTTCCCAGCGTCATGGTACCCTTTGGGTACCCACTAGAGGGTTCCAGGGAGTCCCGCTCAGAGGGATACATGGTGCCTGAAGTGGCATAGGCAGCACTCAATGACTGGATGTTCTCCATAGACAAGGTTTTACCCCCTGGAGCTGTTGCTGAGCCATGGGGGACTTCCTTCTCCGCTGTCGAGCCAGTTTTGATCTTGGAAACTGATCTTGGTGCCAACCCTTGACTTCCAGGTGGTTTAGATGTTGGTGCAGGGACACCTCCAGATACAGAGCCAGGTTCCAGCCCAGAGCGGGAGCCTGGTGCTGAGCTTACTGCCTGTTTGCCTTTTTTGGTGGATCTGGAGAAGCGTGAATGAGATGTGCCGGCATCTTTCGGGCCAGCAGACAGCTTGCCCTGCGAGGGCTTAGCTCTAATATTTAAAGGCATCTTTCATATGGCAGAAGTAGACCTCTGGGAGGAAATGGTTAAGGTCAGGCGTATTTTCATGTCCCTTCATGGAACAATACTAAATAAGGTTTAGAAAAAAGGCCACCTCTGGGTTGCTCAGTTTTTATCTGTCCATCCCTGTTTGGTCAGGGCTCGAGAATGAGTCTTATTTTGTCCTATTAGAAGAAAGTAGCAGTGACTGTTGACTAGAAGGCTCCCAGACACACAGGCCAGAGGTCTTGTGGCTTCATCTATGGAGGAGGTCATCATGGACTCTAGACAGGCAAAAGAAAAACAAACAAAAAATAGACAAGCAATAAAGGTTCATTTACCACCATAAAACTCTTATTTATTCTGACCAAAATAACTAATATTTACAACAACATTGTTACCAAAAATATTTTTATCAATTAAATACTTAATTGGGCACTTCTACCACCTGTATGCCTGAATAGAGAAATAGTTTAAAGCAGGCACAATTTTATCTAATTCATGACCAAAACTACAATTGTTTTGGTTTTCTTCATTCTTTAAAATCGTTTTTACATTAATTTGTGGTCAATCAAGAGTGTTAATGCATCATTTACTATTCAAATGAAAATACTGCCTGGGTAATTTTTGGTATATGAGCAGTTCCCCTGATCAAACAGTCAATTTTGTCCTTATTCCTCATTTGTGGTTATGAAACCAATGGTGGGGCACAAATATGTCTGCTTCATTTACCAGACTATACATTAGTAGTGAAAAGTACCACCAACTATTTACTCATCATCTAAAGAGTTACTATGTCAAGTGAGCACACACATACACATACACACACACAAACCAGTTTGATCATTTCAGCACCATGGACAGCACACATTATACAGATAGCACTAGGACTTGAATGCCTGCTCAGGTCTGAGGGAAACAAGGACATAATAGTGTGATTGGCAACAACCACAGGACACTGCAAAGGGACTGGAGGACCAGTCCTCATTATCCCCTATTCCACCGGGACACTTGCAAGTCTCATCTCCACAATGTTACAGCACTGGAGACAAATTGGTACAGAAGGCTTCAACTAAAAGCAGGCACTTATGCTGAAGGATTTATGACTGTGCCATTTTCATTCTAAATTCAGCCAATACATTTAGCCTATCAGTCATCCATTTTGTAAAAATAATACAACAGGAAATCCAAGTAAGCACATCCAGTCTAATATGGACCAGATATTGGGGACTCTGTTTGTAAAGCAGAGGCAAATCCAAACCATAATCCCTCCTCTAATCCAAGAGGATTGGGTGCTGGGAGTCCCTGCATGGGATGCAACAGAGAGATTGGTTAAATCTACTTGTCAGTCATAACATTGGTGTCAATCCCTTATCCATCATTGTTTGACACAATAAATTTATCGTGATGTGACAGTTATGGAACCATTTATATTTGGTCAATTTTGGCAAGACAGTGGCGCTTTCACACCCGAATTGGCTGCGATATCTCAGTGGTGATGCATAAACTGATATCTGATAGATAACTGTGTCTAAATCTTTTTTTAAACAAGGAAACTGAAAAGACTGATTTGTTTCTTTTGAAGATTAGGATGTAGGTTATTCGGGACAAATAGAGGTATGAAAAAAAGGGTTGATTTCTAAGTTTACGCAGCTGTGTGCATCATTGTTTTACGAACCGAACAAACGAATGAAGAGATAGGCTGTCTGAAGAAAGAGCGGGCTGTCAAAGATGAAAAGGGAAAATGTAACAAGCAGGTAATGCCACATTTCTTACCTGCCTCAAACCACTTCACTGTCCTCTGAGTTTGCAGCCAGCTGTTGCCGCAAAAAGAAAGAAAATAAACTCGCGTCCTCTCCTACACTGAGGTTATGTTAGCAATCATTTTCTCACCAACATCCCTCCTCACCAGCTCTTCTTGCACAGCCCAACACACTGCCAACCTGAAGCAAAAACTTTCAAGTTAACTGCTGCGAATTTCACGTTTGGCTCGGGAAGAAAGGGTCCTTTGGCATGTGCTTGCGCAGCCTGATCACCGACGCCCGAATGACTCTACTACGACCACGGCATGAAGGATTAGTTTCTTGCTCATATGCACACGGCTACATGAGTTCCAGCTAGTACCTTACATAATAATTAATCTGCCACACAAACTGATGGCACAGTTATATTTGTTTAAATAATGTTGCCAAATGATGCCACAAAAATCCAGGTGCGCTCCAAACGAGTGAGCTATCTTACCGGACTGGCACCCCTCCATCACTCTGATGTCCGAAGCGTACCCTGTCCGACCTCGGTGCTGGCTTCATCATTTCATCGGCTCAGCTTTGTCATGATGACCTGCCCTGCCATCGGGTCCTCGTGGGCGCGCTCTCGCAAGCTGGCGCGTACGCGGTATGGTTAGTGGGGCAGCACCAACAGCAATGATGGAAATAGGGTTTTCTTTATTTTTTAACACCTACATTATAGCATTTTCCTGGTTTTAACTTAAACAAGCTCACATTGAATATGCAAATTAAACTAAATACAGAATTGAATTACAGTGTTCATACAGATCAGACAACAAATAGGGCAGTTTTTAATCCAATCAAAGTCAGTTTAATGTCAGAGTGGGCCTAGACATGACTAAACATGGTAGGATAGAAGCTAAAACAAGTTTCAAAGTTTAATGCAGCCCACAGATGATTTACTCATACTACCACCAACAGAAAATAAGTAAGAATGACTTCACCCTTAAAAAAAGAGCCGTGTTAGTCAGCCGGAGGTGCAAGGAGATGAGACTAGTGTGAGCTTTAACAGTGAAGTCAGTTCATTTATTTCTGTTAACTGTCTTTAAGTGAAGCTAAAAAAATTGTGTTTAAAGAATTCATACAGAGAACTATTCACAAAGTGTTGACAGGTTCATATCTACATATTTACAAGTTTAAATGCTCTTCTCTACAGCTGTTTGTGAGGGTGAGAAGATTATGCAGAATGTGTTTCTGAGGTTCATTTACATTTACTTTGAGTTCCTAGCCTCTGATTGGTAAGTGCTGTGACACCTGATCAGGGTTGTCCAGTATGTTAAGTTTTTGGGGTTATGTTGTGGGGATGACAAGATGGCTGAAGAGTAAAAGTGCTGCCAAGAAAGTTATCCGTCTCAATCATGCTGTTTCTCATCATTAGAGTTATGCAACCACCTTACATCGAACTTTCACGTTTCACTAGAAATGCAAAGCAGTAAACAGAAGTGTTTTCCTTGACCTCATCTTTTGTTCAGGCAGTTTCCTTGCTGCTTGACATTTTACAAGATCAAGAATTTTTGGGCCCCAGGACAGGTGCACTACTACTTCAAATTCCCCCTCTTAACGCGTGAAGTTGTTAAAGAGGGAGGCAATAGAGTCCACAGGTGACTCCTTATGAGGATACTGCAGAGGAAATGGTTAGTCATCCGTTAAAGATCAATAACAGTTTCATTTCCTCACTTTATGTAACTAAGAAGCGAAAAACTGAGATAAGGCATGGGAGGTTTCACATACAGATGCGCATTAGTCCCTTGTAAAACCTAATGAAATTGATAAAGGCTACTTGATAAAAATAAAGACCACTTTATTTGAAGATTTTATAAATGTATAAAAGAAAATTATACAGCATGTTTTGTAGCCTTTTAGCTCAAAAAAGCAATGTTTCCCTGCTATGACTAAAGTCTTCGAAGTTACATTTAGCTCAAAAAAAAATCCTCAAAAGAAGAATTTTAAGAATAAACATTGAATTTCAATACAACACATTGTAAACTTGAGTTAGATATCGTCATAAATGAGAAACATTTTAATGTATATAAATAACAAAGTAAATGTTTGTCTAATAATAAGGTAATGAAAAAGGCAAAATAAGGACTTTTTATATCAGTTGTGAAAATTAAGTCACATAAAACTTTCACTCATGTTGTTGTCATAGAATTTGAGGTTGTCTGACGACAATGCCATTCTCACTTGGTTCCAGAAAAGAGGTTGTGCCCTTGGGTTTCTTGGCCATGACAACACCGACTTCCTGCACAACCTTTTCCTCAGCTGGAGGTACTTCAGTTTGGGAAACATCTCATCCAACAGCACCAGCACAGCCACATCCATCTGAATTTAGACAAATCAAGAGATACATCAGTGTATAAAACATGGTGACACTGCAGGGTAAGTTTTTACTTTACTACTACACAAAATGAACGCAGATTATAATGCTGACTTTTACAAACCTTCTCGTCCAAAAGTCGCTGCTGGACCATGAAGAAAGCCTGGCGGATCACACCATTCGCTGTCTCGGTACCATTAGCACCACTGGACAGCACAAACACTGTTTTAACACTGCTGTGGACAGCATTATGGAGATTGTCAATACATGACAGTCCAGGAATCCAGTCCCTCTCCTCTAGACAAAGACAAAACCTCCTTTGACTTGAGTTCTCCATATTGACAGTGAACTCATTGTAGACCCAATCTCTTACAGCATGGTTCCTGGTGTCAAACACTACAAAGGCATCATAGTGATAATGTGAATCACTTCCAGTCAGCTGGGAGTAGCCTTTGTGTCCTGCCCAGAGTACTTGTAAGCAATACCACAGATCCCAGCCATAGAGGTGCTTCAGCAGGGGCAGAACAGTGAATGTTATGGTCAAGAAGGAGCAGACTAGGAAGGCCAAACCACCATAGATGTCCTGGCAGGAATGCTGATCCACACTCAGTATGCTCTTGCCTTGTAGGGGCTCTGGGAATTCACAGTGTATATATGTGAATAGATGAGGGATCTGTATTGTCGTTGATCGAAGGAAATCAGCAAACCATGATGTGCCACAGTCACATGTAAATGGGTTTGCATGCAGGGTGAGTTTCCGAAGTGCACTGCCGTTTTGAAAGGGGACAGGGAGGAACTCATGGTTTAATTCTTTGATCTGATTGTGGCTGAGATACAGATATTTCAGGGACTTTGCCTTACTGAAGAAATCCTCAGGAATACAACTGAAGTAGTTGTGACTTAGGTCCAAGAGAGAAAAATCTTCACCAAATTCAATGACTTTAGAGGGCAAGTTGGAGAGATGGTTTTGGCTGAGGTTCAGGTGACGTAAGTTGCTGAGTGTTGAGATGTTAGGCCATGGGAAATAGTTCAATTGGTTGTTGCTTATGCAAAGGAACTGGATGCTTTGTGGTAGGTTATACAGCACTTCTGGTGAGATTGACTTCAGTTTGTTGTCAGAGATGTCCAGGTACGCAAGGTTTGTCATGTTTTGGAAGAAGTGAGTGTACCTGTTGTTATCAAAATTCCACATTACATTTAGGTGGTTCCCACTATAGTAGAGGTACCTCAAAGAGTTGCTCACCAGCCTCTGATCTACTCGCATCCCGATACCATTATTTGCCAGACTTAAAACTTCCAAGTTAGTTAAGTATTGAAGAAACTCTAATCGATGGCCCATCCCCCTCATTTTGAAGTGAAAATCATTGTAACTAATATCTAGCACCTTCAGAGTGTTACTAAGCTCACCAAAGGCATTTCTATAATACAAATCAAGTCTGTTGTATGACATATTTAAGAAAACTAACTTTTTCATACTTTGAAACACACCTGGCTTCAATGTTTGACTCATGTAATTGTAGGAGAGGTCCAAACACACAGCATTTTCCATACCCACAAACACCTCTTTCTTAAGAGACATTATTTCATTTTGAGAGAGGTCAAACGTAAGGTTGTGCTCACACAAGTGTTTCTGAAAGTCCCATAGTGATGGAAAAACAGTTACATCGTCCTCAGGCATTCCCAGCCTGATCAATTGGTTTGATTCCCTGGTATTATTTCCAGATGAGGCTCCTTGGTCAAGCAGCAATGCAGAAGTGAAATTCTGTGTATGCTCTCTCTGGTCTTCAAAGCTTCCCTGCGCTATGATATCAGATGACACGCTCGAGCGACATGGGATGAAGCTAAGCATGTTCTGAGAGAGGTCAATATTGATGAGAGATGGTAACTTCTTGAGACCTTGAATATCACAGTCATTGATGAAGTTCATTCTCAGTTCTAGAGTTGTTAGATTTTTTAGTTTGGACAGAACACTGAGGCTTTCACTTAAAACCTTGTGGAAGAAGTTGCCGCTGAGAAGAAGCTTTTGAAGTCCAGATATATTGCCCATATGTGGGGAGAGGATCAGTTTAGGAAATGTCTTCAATGGTTCATAGTTATAGATAAGACTAATCCAAGTTAGGTTCTTCAGCTCTGAAAAGAAAGTGCCATTCTGTATAGTGTATGCCAGGAGGTTGTCGGAGAGATCTAGTCCACGCAATTTCGTCAAAGGTCGGAAAAGACCCTCTGGAAATGTTCTGAGAGAGTTTCCTCTTAGGCTTAGGAAGGTGATGGAGCTGTTTTCTGAATGAAATGAGTTTGGATGGAGGCGAAGAGGGTCATTGTTTGGGCAAGGAAAGCAGGGCCTGGCTGCATGATCACAGCGCTGGCAATTCCACTCCAAAATCAAAGCCTTAAGGTTTGTCAAGTTGGCGAATGCCTCATCTGCGACCTCTGTGATTGTGTTCTCTCTTAAATCCAGTGTCTCTAGAGAGGGTGGTAACCCTTCAGGGATATCTGTCAAGTTATCATACCCCAAGGAGAGGTTTTGAAGCCTGGGGAGCTCTTTGAAAACCCTCTTGCTCATGTAAAATGAATGGTGGCAAGGGTTTGCATAAAAGCAGTTCATGTTGAGTATAAGCTCTTTAAGAAGTGGCGTTCCCAGTGGATCAGCAATATGGAAGATAGAATTACTCCCCAGATCAAGGACCTTCAGGCTTTTGGGTAACCAGGGGATAGAGGTGAGGCTGTTTCCTGCCAGGTACAAAAATTCCAGCTTCAGTAGTTTGAAGAGGGCATCTTTTTCAATCTCAAACTTGCATAAGCGGTCTGCCAAAGGTCTCAGGCTACCTGGTGGACAATTCTGCATTACTTCCAGAGTGCGGAGGTTTGGGACATCTGATAAATCTTTCTGCCCAACTTGCTGTATCTTGGTCCGACTTAAATTGATCCACTTAATAGTGTTAGACTTGATAGAGGGGATAGAATCTAGTTTTCTGTCAGAGCAGTCTACTCTCGTGTCATTCATATTTGTTTCACAAGGGAAGTATTTGGTAATAATGGTCCTCGCTGATGGAAGAAGTAAAAAAAAGACAAAAACCTTTTTCAACCCAGCCTGAAAAAGAAACCACGGATTTCAAATTACATTTTGCATGACAAACAATTTATATGCATTTTTTTACAGTTTATTACAGCAGCTAAAATGTTATTAAGCAAATTGCTCTAACTTTTGAGGGATCTCCTTACAGATACATTGCGACAATGCAAAGACAAAGAACATGATCTAACAGAAGTGTAGCGGGTTTTCAAAATAAATATATAATTTCTTACTTACCATAGCAAAATGTTAGGAGCCTCATGAAGCAATCCTGAGTCCAGGTGTGAAGAGGAAAATGGAAACACGTTATGACACCGTCTGAGCAGTGGCAACAAACTAGACTCATTTATGCAGAAGTGAAAGTATGTGGTCAAATTTACAGCAGCTTGATGCAAACCATGTGATCAAGGATCAACTCATGATGAGCCTCAGATGTAGAAACCTCTCTAATGATCTCTTATAATAACTACTATAAATCATATCAAGAATAAATAAAGAGTTGCTTCCTTTTTCTGTCTGCAGAGAAGTAATATGAGAAGAAAAATATCAATTTTTTCCCCACAGGTTGATAAACTAGAAGACTTCCTGAATTCACTATAAATTCTACAGAAAAGGTATAAGGAATTGAAACACTACTTCAACATCGGGTTTAGTTTCCCCCTCAGAAACACCTATTTAGCTGGACATTCATCCCACGCTTGCAGAATTTTTTTTTTTAACAAGTTTATTAAGTGCACTGTCTCATAAAATCAAACCAAAACTGTTGTGAAACATGACAGTAAGCAGAAAAAAAATGAGTATGAAAGAAATTCCTTGATGTATTCTCAAACACAACTGACAGAATGAAAAGCCCTTTATTTTCTCTATATAATTAGAGCCTGCAAAATTAACCAACCATTACATTTCTGACTTCATAAACTGCATTAAAGCTGTAAGTGCTGTGTTCAAACCTTCATCAACTCTGAGAGAGTAACCGTGGAAACCCCCATGGCAACAGATAACTTACAAGAAGACTCAATTTTATACATCATATCTTCAAGTTGGAGAGCACTTTATATTCTTTGGCTTGGACCTTACAACGTCCTTGAAAACAAAAGCAGAATATCCCTCGCGCCCAGTGGTGTCCTGTCATCTCAAATTTACCATCACTGATACAAATGTTGAATTATCCACAGAGCAATGTTCATAAAGCCATCTGACTCAGCGTCCACCTTGGAGAGAGCATGGTTGTTCCCTGGGTACCATAGCAACCTAAAATAAATGTATCAGAGCATTAGTGAATAGGCAATCAAAGCTCTATTGCGCAACAGAAGTCGGACAAGTTGCTTACCGGACAGGAACCTGCTTTGCTTTCAGAGCTCTGTAGTATTCAATTCCTTGCTTGTTAGGCACTCGTTTGTCGTCTTCCCCTAAGGTAAGCAACACTGGTGTCTGCACCTGGATGAGAGATCGTGTTTATTTTTTTATGATATTGTTTCACAGCACCAATAAGTTTGCATACACAAGGTAAAAGACACACAGTGAGAAACTCCTACCTGAGGGACATGCTTAATGGGGGACATGTTTAACATTTGCTCCCATACAGCTGGGTCAGGTAGACAGTCCGTGCTGTAGTCGAAGCCAGACACGCTCATGCACCTGCAAAAGGCGAAACATCAAGAGGAAGGAAAAAGAAACTCCCTGAACAGTTTTGAGGTTATTTTTGTTCCTGCAGTGCGAGTGTGTCTCTGTGCGCTAATAACCACCTCCATTCCTCACAGTGAGGTAGACACATGCCCTTTATCCCACTCACTTGCTCACAGCTGTCATAGTGAAATGTCAGGGGGGTACCATGATAAAACAGGAGAAGATGAGTGGTTATGTATAACTAATACATGAAAATCTTAAATACTCTGACAGTCTTTACCAGTCTGGGATGTCTGTGCTGCCGATCATCGAGGCCAGATTGATGACGGGGTTGCGAGCCACACAGGCTTTGTAGAAGCTTGGATACTGGCCGATGAGATGACAGGCCAGGAAACCACCATGGGAGCCCCCAGAAATTGCCACTTTTTGCGTGTCGAAATCATCACCTTTGAGAACACTTTCAACAGCAAACTGAGAGAGAACAAAAGAAAGGGGCAATTCGAGAGAAGACGGAAAGACGTGTGAAAATGCAAAAAATGAAAAAGGAAAACGTTTATGATGCCAGGTTTTTTTGGATGATAGCTATGAAAACAAATCTCAACTAAATAAGGGAACTACAAGACTAATCATTACACTGTAGGTTAAACAGTAGACAATACTTAGTAGGAGGAACAATGCCTTTACTGATCACCAATTTAAAGGATTAAAAACACAATAATCAGAATATTGGATATTTTCAAAACTAGTTTTTGGGCTTTTCTATCTTAATTTTGACAAGACTGCTAGAAAGATTGGAGATTTCAGAAAGGAGAGGTGAAGAATAACATGAACCAGATCATGACTTTTAAACAGCTTTTCTCTTATTCTTACTTGAACATCTTTGACATCCTGACTGCCAACATTGCCGGGTAATGAGAGGATGTTGTCCTGGCCGAACCCCAGAGAGCCACGATAGTTCACTACAGAAAAATAAACAAAACAAAAACACACACTGATATAGTTGACATGTATGATTTAGGGCAGGATGAAATGCTATAATCAAGAATCTTAAACAAATCTCTCAAACTAACTTAACTCCAGAAACAAGAAAAGCAAGCGTGTGACCAGTTTTCAGTTTCTCATCCTGTTGCTACAGGAAAAAAAAAAAAAAAACACCTGTTTGAAACCAGTAAACCTGGCGTGCCTCTTTTGAAGTACAAAACCACAATAGAGGACCTATAGTTGTCAGCATTCCTAGTCATCAGCAGTCCGTTTACTGGAATAGTGAAACTGATTTCACATAAAACTGTCTGGCAACACCCACGTGAGATCGGGTAAGTGTGTGCAAACTGCATGCTTCCGGGGTATTTCATTGTTTACAAGATTCTGAGAAATGTGGCCAATTTTTTAAAATTACAATTAATGTATTTTTTAATCTAAGAGTGATCTACACACCATATGTTTCTGCTGGCAGGAGACAGCATGGGGACCCTTAATCATCAGTTTTATACGCTGTATAAAAATCCCATGAATAGGTTATTGGTCACAGGTTAAAGACACTCATATTTTACTAACCCAGTAATATGGCAAAGCCCATCCGGCACAGCACTGATGATGACAGAACCCAGTCGGCTACAAGCACTGAGTGAGGACCACCTTAGAGAAAGAACAATAACAATAAGAAGTCAGTTTGTGTCTTCATGTTCTTTTTCCCCATGAGGTCTAAAAGCCTGAAGTAACTTTGCATGTAAAAAAAAAAACCCTTTCTGGTTTCTTTGTTTTCTCCAAAACACTTTGAGAATATGATCAGAAACTTTAACACACTGGTCATTTTCTGATCTGCATAAGTGGCTCATGACTGAAAAGACAGCTGATACTTGAGAATAAAACACTGAAATACAAAGAACTCGATTCAGAGTCACCAACCATGAGGAGTGACGATAAGAGGCAGCTTCACTCCATCCTTAACCTCCTTTGGTTTGATCAGCAACGCTTCAAAATCAAGGCCAGCTGGAAGAATATATATAGAGTACTAATTAGTTTTTCCCCTAAGATTACCTACGCTGTTCTTTATATGTCATACACACAGTCAGATCTTGTCCACCCTCCATATACAGCAATCAGACTGAAATCTTACGGTACTGGCTGTTGTCTTGCTCTGGAGGAGGGTTGAAAGTCAAGATCTGCCAATCAATATCTGGCAAAATCTGAGAGTCTTCCAAAGTAACCCAGACCACTCCCTCCACTGAATCCCTGGGGGGCAGGAAACCCACCCTCTGGACACAGAAATGACACATGAGTTTGTGACCTTGTGGCTTTTGAGAAATTTAATAAAGATCACTCTGAAAAAAAGACCAAAAAAAAAGAGTAACTACCAAACATGGCGGGGTGTTTGGAGAGGAGCAGCTGACCACCATCAGATCTCTCTCTATGTTCAGCAGGCACCAGCTGCCGACATCAGACTCTGGAGACCGACAAAGAGCATAATAAGTCGCAGGTTGAAAGATATTGGTTTAAGAGCTTCAGTAACACAAAAACGCAGTAGGTGCATGACTTCGTAGTAGTGGCAATAATAAAAAGGAAGAGGAAGAGGGGGTGTTTAGTTCTGAATAATCCCAAGGCAGAAAAATGAGTTTCATGACTCACTCGAAGTCAGAGAGGTGACGCTTCCAGTGCTTGTATCCACCATCAATAGATCCTGCAAGAGAGACGATAACTTCTGAGGTAACAGATTTTAAAATGGTCTTAACCTGATTATAAAAAAATGATTTTGCCAAACTACAATTTGTAATTTTGATAAGACAAATCTTGGAAACAGACAATACCTTGCGGCTACGCTGAGGACAAGAGATAATAACACGCTGACTATCAGCTGACCAGCACTGAGGGGCCAACTGAGAGCTGTAGATACCAGTGAAACCATCTGTGGAGACGCATAAATACACACAGACACAGCTGGATTAGACAAAGAGTGGAAGAAAGGTGTACTCATGTCATGATCAGGTGGTCCTTACCCTCTTTAGGCCTCTGCACAATATCCACCACCACTGACGTCTTCTTCGTATACCAGTCATACTACAAAAATACAACATGCAAGCAAAGACAAGAGCAAATATAAACAAAGGCATTTATTAACACACTCATGTATTTTTGTTTCAGTAAAGCTCCATGTCTACAGACAGGACAATTAGATGATAAGCTGTGTAAATAATCATCTTTTACTACACAGTTTTTCAATGAGGACAGTGCACTTTATACAGAGTGGGAAGAAAATGTGCCAAAAGTCTGCCCTACCATACAAAGCCTGCTGCACTGCATGTGTGGTCCATAGACAGAACATTCCAGATAAACAATTCGACACTGATCTGGACTGAGCCTGGGGGAGTACACAGCACTGGTGCCCGATGACAGCTGCTCTAAAGTAACACACAAACAATTACAACACATTAACATCTGCCAAATCAGGAATTCATGGATGTATTGCTTAGAGCCAAACTTTTTGTACATGCAGGGCTTGACACTAACTTTTTTCACAAGGAGCACATTCAATTTTAGATCTTTTGGTCACATGACATGGAAGCTATTGAAGAAAATGTTTAAAATTTGCCTTTAAATTAAACACAAAAATTTTTTTGAGGACAAATTAGTGAAATAAAGAGGTGTGTCTTATTGTCCGACCTTAGTACTCCTATTTGAAATCAATTTTAGGTCAATTGGTCACGTGACATGAAAGCTATTGAAGGAAAACAGCGTTTTTTGAGAACATCAACCGGTAATTTATTGATGGTCCCTTATTCAACACCTGACAGCGAGGGTGCCAAGTAGATTTAACTGCGCTGCTGTTGCTATTCCAGGTTATAGAGAGTGAGAAGACACCAGTAAATCCACAGTGAATGTCCATCAAATATCCAACCTAAAACTAACTTCACCGTGGTATCTACATGAAAAAAACATTTGCCTGTTTTTTTTATGTGCACATGTGCCCCTAAATACTTTTTAGAATTCATGCACATCTTTTTTTAGTTGCAAATGCGAGTGAAACGGTCACACTGTCGAGCCCTGACATGCATCATTATTCGTATTCAACGCTGAAAACAAGTAAAACAAGGACAATCTCATGTTCTCATATAACAGTTCATACAAAGATTACAAAGCAAAACTTGGTAGTACGTGCCCTTAGAGAAGGAGGGTGTTATGGTTATGGGATCTATTCGTATTTAACTTTATCATCTTTCTGGAAGAGACAGCACTATACTTAAAATTACAGTCATTCGCTTACCACATTTCCCACCAGTGAGATCCACGTAGAACAGAGATGACCTGAGGGAGAAAATGACATAGCTGAATAACCTGCAGAGCAACTATAATGACTTTTCTGATACGACAGATGTAACTCTTTTTTTTACCTCCTGTTTGGGCAGTACTTAAGGCCAAGTCTGAAAGGCTCGTGCCACCAGCCTACAAACACCACACCTGTGTCACCAGGAGCCCAAAATGCCTGTAAAGTGAAGGACATGGTATGAGCCTCAAAAACCAGAGTCATGCATTATCACACAAGGTGCTGTATCCACCTGTCCAGGTGAGATGTTTTCTGGCACTCCCTCCAGCACAGACACGCTGTCACCATCGATATCCAGGACACAAAGCACAGGACAGCTCTTAGTAACCAGCGCCTCGCCCCAGTCCTCATGGAAGGCAAACTGCTCCCCCTGCAGGAATAAAAACAGAAAAACCACCACAGCCTCAGCTTCAGTGAAATATCGCCTATAAGTGTTTTTTAGGTTTTATTCCTTATTGCATTTCTACCTTTACAGCCTCCTTTTTCTCCACTCTTGAGGTCTCTTCATCTTCTGCAATAGAGGACAAGCCTGTTGAGCCAGACTGCAGACAAAAAGGATGAAACAGAACAAAGAGTTACTCTCCATGGGTGTAACATAATTCAGAAATCTCATACTGCAACAGTCAATAGTGAATTAACACTGATTTAAACAGAGGACTGAAAACTTTTCTCATCTCCCTGAAGCCACACTCCAATTAGTGTCAGTTTTACAAGACATTCAAGGCTCAAAGGGCGACGTAAAATGTGTTCAAATTGACGGCATTTACAGACTATTTTTCTTTGTGACTGATTAATAAGCTTTTTTTAACAATGTGCCAAAGCCTTAGATAATTTTGATACTGTTTGCTGTTTCTAGAAAGGAAATATCTGCAAATTTGGCAGTTTCCTTAAAAGAAAAATCATTGCACTCACTTCAAACATGCTGAAAACATTTAGTTATGGTTTCAGTATGCCGTGTGAGACCAGTATTGACGCTACTGAAATTTTAAACCTCCAAAGAATGCTGCACCTGTTGTCTGTCAAACATGATTTTCAGCCGATTAACCCTCAAGTACAGTTATGATGACATACCTGGAAGAACGATTCTGTCTTAGGCCTCTTCTTTTCTGCCACGTACAAAAGGTGGGTCTCAGAGTGGGACCAAACCAAGCTGCCAAACTGATCTATAGAAGAACAAACGTAGTATTAATTACTCCTAAACTATGCATACAAAGGCTCAGTTGTACATACCTGCCAACACTCCCGTTTTTCCCGGGACTCTCCCGTATTTCAGACCTATCTCTCGCCCACCTTCAGTATTGTCATTTCTCTCGCAAATCTCCCGTAGTTTGCATGGTCTACGTTCATTCATGAACTGGATCACTATATTCATCCAAAGTTGCCAGATTTCCAGACAACCGAAGATTGTCCTGTGTTTCTGCTGAGCCTCACAGACACTGGATTGATACTTTTACTGAACAATTTGGGATGATTCAGGTCAGTTTAAGATGTAAATATTTAAGCAGTGTTTGTTGCAAAATAAATACTTCAATGAAAGGAAAACAAACGCGGGATATAACTCTCGTCAGATTTAAGTTGATAGTCTTGCACTGTCTTGGAGTGATGCGCTCGGGCAGCCTCAGACAAAAGAGTGCTGTACTGGAAACACAGATGTTCAGAGAACATGTAAAACATATGAGGACTTCAACACCAAAATTAGTGGACTAAATAAGTTCAACGAAAATTGTAGCTATTTTTTTTGGTACCATTTGTTATTATTAAAAAAAACAAAAAAATGTGCTGCTCCACTTAGACTTATTTGGATGAGCAATCTAATCACAAATACTCTCATAATTAGCTCATATCCACCGTACAAGGTAACCCCAAAACTGTCCAGCACGCGCAACTAGAATCTCTTTTTTAACCCTCGATTTTATAACCCAAATGTTGGCAGGTATGGTTGTATAGGAACTGAAATGCAGAGAACTCACCATCCTCGTAGACTTTGCCATGCTTCTTCAAGGCTGTCAGATTGATGCTCTTCATCTTGATGTTTTTACTCCAGATCTAAATGATTGCAGAAATTAAAGAAAAGTCAAGTGCCTCAGATTTAAAACAAGATGATCTTCAGATAGATGTGGGATTTACAGTGTCAATTAAATATGAACACCAAGCCTGATTTTATTTTGTAAAAAGCATGATTTAAAGGAGAAAAGGCACCTCCAGAAACTGAGTATCCTCTCCTTTGATGGAGCACTCCCTAACCACAGCCTTCATTTCACCTGAAGGGGAATCCTTACTCAGTAACCTGTGAGGAGAAACAGTCTGGTTTAGACCTTTTAGTAGGTAAGTAAGTAAGCATACTTTATTTGTATAGCACTTTTCACAGACTAAAGAGTCACAAAGTGCTTCACATGGAAAAAAAATAAAAAGGTACATACAAATTAAAAGGCCAAGACAACAACATTAAACAGTCATAGCAGCCCCAAAAACAATTAAACAAAAGCCTGAGCTAATAAATACGTTTTGAGTTGGCTTTTAAAGGAGTCAACAGAGTCAATTAAGTCCAGAGAGAGAGGAAGATCATTCCAAAGCCTGGGGGCAACAGTCTGGAAGGATCGATCTGCTTTGAGTTAGGAATTATGAAAATGTTTACATACTCTCCTTTGATCTCAGTGCTGTTTCCTGAGGCTCCAGAGAAGACCACCGACTTATCATCATGGAATACAATGTACTGTCTGCAAAACTTGACATTCTCATTCCTCTCCAAATCACGCTGGCTCCACTCTGTAAAGGAAAGTCAGTCAAAGTCACTGAAAATACAGACACCTAAAAATGATTAGTCACTGGAACAGTCTGTGCTCACCCGTGTAGATGTTGCTGTATTTGCCTCCATACTGAGAAGTTATGACAGGTCCCAAGTCTGCTTTGCTCAGAGAAGGGAAGAGACTGAGATCTCTGTAGAGTCTGACGATTTCCTCCGGGTTGCTCATCACCTGACAGCGTGCAACAGAGGAACTCACACCACGTCCCAGAAATACAAACTGTCGCACGGCAAACAATGTCCTATTCATTACCTAGCAAGATTGCTACTCAGCCATGCAAAGCTAGTAATATCAAATCCGTTTTCCACCAAAAATAGTATAAAAGTACTCAGTAGTTGCTGCACACTAAAAACATTCACAAAGCAAATGGACAAGTCTGTTTCCAGCAATGTCTGACGGATTTAGTTCAACCAGGAACTTCCTGGAGCTGACAGCAAACAACGGGATCACTGCTGCCAGTCTGCTAGCTTGACTTGGACGCTGGCTAACATTATCAATTAAAACTATAAACAAAATAACATGACAGCGTGACGGACACAAGCTTCACATTTTCATACATATATTATTTAGTTTCGTGGGATTGTATCAGATCACAATCAAAGAAAAATGCAGTTAAGTATTACCATACCTGCGACTCCATGGTAATAACTGTGTGTGTCGCCAGTCTGCAAATTGCAATCCACTCTAACTACAATAGAGCGGACACTCCTCTGCAAAGACAACATATGAAAGCTTCCTATAGCAACTACAAAAATAAAGTTAAATATTCAGCAAGCAATTCTTTAATATATAAAAAAACACAATTTCTGAATGAGTTGATGACAAATCAATCTCATACGGCAAATTCGTAGTGTCTAATAGAACTGATGGGTGGGTGTCCATTAAACTTGTTAGTTTGTCTGATTTAGTAACAAGCGGCAGCGCTTTTATTTTGAAGGCATACCAACTCTGCAACTTTCAACCGGAAGCAGTGTATTACAGCAACGCCCTCTTGTGTTAAGACCATAGACTGTATAAAGAAGTTTTTACAGTATATACTATATACAGTCTATGGTTAAGACTTTATTTTAAAGGCTATGGCATTAACCCTTTCGTGCTCGAATTGTGAAATCTTCAGTTAAGATTTTTTTCCTATGTGTTTTTATTCCTATTTAGGCATATAAAGGGCATAAGTTATAAAACTTTTGTTCCTTCAAACCAGTGAACGTTTTGAGAGATTTCAAATACATTTTAAATTCGTTTATGAAAACAATAATTCTGGAGAATCACGATTGTAAATAAAAATGAATCTTACTGAAGTACCGATAAAATCCTTTAGATGGCAGTAATGTAACAACAGTCGCGATAAAACACAACAGAAGAAGAATACAACCGTAGTCCACGGTCTTTTTTCTGTGTTTTAATCAAAAGTTGTTGATTTCAGTGTATTGCATGGTGTTTTGAATCACATTAACTCCTACATATATAATAGGCCTTTTCAAAATGGCGTGATTGCTTATGTTTCTGAGATCGGTTACTGTCGCTCTGTTTCCGTCAATCAGCTGGGGTAGGTGGGGTCACAAAGAGCCAAGATGGCTGACTTTGAGGAGCCGCTGTCAGATGAGGAGAAGGTGCGAAGCCTTGAATTATTTGCTTTAGGCTGCTCTTTCTTACCTGCGATCAATTACTGATATTAAAATCGTACTAGAGTTAACGATTAAGCTTTGGAAATGCAATCTTTTGTAACGTTCAGCAATAATTAACTTCTGTTTGTAAGCTACCACTAGCCAACTAGTCCATGCTAGTTAAAGCCTTGGTGGCTAGCGGCGAAATTAAATAAAGGGGTTAGACACTTGGTGCTTATGCTTCAACGGCTTAGATATTGACTTAAATTAAAAGGGAATTTGAAATGCCATCCACCGAAGAAGTCACGTAGTTTTGTTCTTAAAAGCTTGTTATAATTGCAGTGCAGGAGTAAGCTAACATTAGCAGCTAACGTTACTTTGGATTTGTGGGTCAAACAGATTCTGTTGCAGCTGAAATATTTGCCAGCCTCACATGAGATCAGGAGATAGGGTGTCTAAAATTTAGATGCAGCCCGTTAGTGACACCATTGGCAGTGGATACTGGTGGCAGCTGGACATGGGACCAGCAAAGTTAAATTACTCTGAATGACAGGCTGCAGCGTCTCTGTCACAGGCGAGAATCACGTTTACCATGCAAGCTGCAGCACAGTTATCCGATGGTTGCATGGTTTTACACAGACCTGACACATGCATTTGCACCTTGTTACTCTAGTGTTTGAAGTTGCAGTTAAAATAATATTAGTTTTAACGTTATTTCGACGGTTTCTGATTGCCTATTGGGTGTAAAGAGTTGGTCCTCCACTGTTCTCCTTGTAATAAAAGCTCATTGATTGATTGAGTCTTTGAAAATGATCAATCTAAAAGACATGCATGCTGAAATATATGTATTGTTAATACATAATACCTCTTTCTATCATGTTTCTGTTGAAGAGTAAGTATTTTTACATTCGTTGACATTGCAATATCAAATTTCCCAGTGTGTTTGGCGTAGTAGTATTTCATTTTGTATTGATAAACAGACATGTACCCAATTTCACTAATACTGAATTGACCTTTTGCATTTATTTTCTTTGTTAAGGTTCGCATTGCGGCCAACTTTGTGACTCATGCCCCCCCTGGAGAGTTTAATGAGGTCTTTAATGGTAAGAAGTACAGGCAACTAATCATGACATGATCCGTGTGATAGTAATACTGTATCCTAGGACTGGGCGGTTTGGTAAAAAAAAAAAAAAAGATCAGGATATATTTTGTCATATCCTCCGCTTTCGATTATTATCATGATTTTTTTTTTAAACTGCCAGTTTTAAAGCATCTGTACTAAAAATTCAAGAAACTAGAGATTAGTTCAACATTTTATCAACATACAAAGTAAATAACAAATAATAACTTAGAACACTAAGAAAAATTTAAAAACATTTTAACTCAACAGTACAACAAATGTAGATAAATACTTAATAATACAGTGAATTAGTTTACAGTTCTGAGTGTTTTTGCAGGTGTGCAATACCCAAAATAAACAAATCGCCCCCTCAGAGATAATGAAGACACCTTAAAATGGAAACATAGATTATGCGATTGGTTGCTGCTTTAGTCTGGAGGCTGCACCGCTAGTTGTGGCTAAACTGCAAATGCTACTTGTGCCGTCAGCAGTGACAGGCTATGCAGACTCTGCTCCCATTTTCATGCTTTCCTCATAATCACTCAGGAAGAAGTTCTTTAAAGGATTAAACAGATCTGTCGTGTTGCCGGTTTTTAAGGCACCGACCGCCGACATACCCTACACATCGGCTTAATTACTCAATGTCACTTTGGAGATACCTGAACCACTGCCACACAACCGATGTTGAGTAACTTCTCTTCTCAACAAAAACATCTTCGGAGGATGACTCAAAGTCACGGCTGACGTCTATTTTGCTGCCCTCAGCGCCGCGTTTAGCTCCAAGTTCGGTCATTCTGTTTATGTCTCCGGCAACTTACATAATTGAGCAGGAAAAGCTCGACTCTGTTTAGCTGTTGTGACGCACATTTCCTCATATGATCGAACTGAAATTTATCACGATCATCAATCACGATCATATCATCGCCCAGTCCTACTGTCTCCTATATTGTCTCTTACAGTTACCATAACCATAAAACCCTCATGTTTTTGTTTGTGTGTGTCTTTTCAGATGTGCGGCTTCTTCTCAACAATGACAACCTCCTTAGAGAGGGGGCGTCCCAGTAAGTACAAGGACAAGATTTGACTGCCCTTAATTTCCGAAGTTCAACATTTGTATTCAACATTTATTTGTAAATTGTGGTTTATTTTATACACATAATGAAAATGAAGTAAACTGAACTCTGGTTTTGCATATCTGGTGTCATATTATAAGTGCTTACTAACCTATTTCAATCATGCAGCTCCTTTGCCCAGTACAACATGGATCAGTTTACTCCTGCTAAATTAGAGGGCTATGAAGAACCGGTATGATTCACCCTGATGTCCTTGCTTCTTTTTCTTGATGGGGTAGGTGTTGAAGCCAGATTTTTTTCAATTTTTTCCTCTGTTCGTTGTAGGTCCTGATCACAGAGCATGGTGACCTAGGCCAGGGACGTTTCCTTGACCCCCGCAATTGCTTGTCCTTTCGGTTCGACCACCTAAGAAAAGAAGTGAGCGATGTGCAGCCGTATGACGGAGAGATGGCCCTGAGAAGCTGGAGAGATGCCTGTGATACTTTCCTTACTGCCTATGTCAAAGAACACTACCCCTCTGGAGTCTGCACTGTAAGGCAAATGAAAGAAATTGTGACTGTTTTGAATAATGTACCTGCATCCATCTTTACCTGTACCATCTGAATACTGCAGGTATATGGAAAAATGGTGGATGGTCAGCAAACAATCATAGCCTGCATTGAAGGACATCAGTTTCAACCCAAAAACTTCTGGTACAGTGAATACTCTTCCAACTGATTTTTTAAACATATCTGATACAGCTATATTTTTTAGTTTTAACATAAACACAATTTTCTTATAATTTATATCGTTTTTAAATGTTTTAATCTGGCTGTAATAAAGGGATACTCTTTGTCTCTCGCACAGGAACGGGCGCTGTAGGTCAGAGTGGAAGCTTACCATCGGTCAATCCACAGCTCAGGTTGTAGGAGTCTTGAAAATCCAGGTAAAATTAACTCACCACGTACAGCTGCATGTATGATATATCAAAAAGAATTATAATTATTATTTTTAATTGTCAGCCTTACAGTGAAGTTTATCTGTTTTCAGGTACACTATTATGAAGACGGGAATGTGCAGCTGGTTAGCCACAAGGAGGTTGAAGAATCGATACCAGTGACTGTAAGTCATGAGCAGTCATGTCTACCTAATGTTGCTGTCATAGCTCTGTCAGCTCAAGAGATGTTTATTACTGTTATTTGGACAAAGCTCATGGCTATTTATGTTTTGCTGAAACAGAATGAAAACCAGACAGCCAAGGAATTTGTTGACATCATTGAGAATGCAGAAAATGACTACCAGGTAAGCTATCTGGCAGTGTTGTTTTCGATGACTATGATGTTGACGAAAACAACACTGAAGAATATATTTTTAGCGTTTGACTGATGAAATGCTCATGAATTTTGCAACTGTGTTCGTCGTCCACCACTAACGTTTTCATCCAGTCTCGTCTCGTCAACGTGAACGCACATTCGTCTCGTCACATTTTAGTCATCTAAGACTTATGTTTAGCTCGTCAACGCCACGTCTTCTTCTTGGAAAACGAAAACAACACTGCTACCTAGTAGTTAGCACACACGTTTGTATGAGAGCAGCCAGACTTGTACACATTTAGTTGAAAACGAGTAGTTGAAGCACTGGGGATGTGGCAAAGCTTGATGAAAGAAAAGACCTGTTGTTTTGAGTTAGTGGCAGAGAGAGTAAACTTTGTACAACTGTTGAGTCCCTCCCTGCAGGTGGAGGATTCCTCCGATGAATCCAGTTATATTACATTCTTCATTCAGTCACTTATAAAGGCAATCAATGGTGATCCTAGTCATGTCTCATTTATATTTCTCATTTGCATGACCTTAAGTGAGCTCTACACTACTATACTAAAGACGCTCGCTTAAGAAACTGAATTTGATGAGTTGAGCAGAGCTGGATTTACAAAACTATGTCTTTTTTTATGGTTATCTACAGCTGTGTGATAAAAGTCCTAATGAATAAAAAAATGCTCTTAAACATCTAGAGAAAAACAGACCCGCCTGATTACATATAAAACCATCCATAGGCTTTACTGGACTCCTTGTAAAATGGCGAGACTAAAGTTGTGTGAATCTGACTTGTGCTGAGGTGTGAGAAGAGTAGGGGAACACTTTTACACATCTTATATGAATGTGAAAAGACACAAAACCTATGGGTAAATATAATATTATGTATTAATAAAGCATTCGGTATAGAACTAGCTTGGTGCCCCGCCCTGTGTATTCACTCCCACAAACTCTTTCATGAATGGTTGGAAGAAATGAATTTAAAAAATGCTCTTATTATGTTTCCTGTCACTCTTTGTCCTCAGACCGCAATCAGCGAGAACTACCAGACCATGTCTGACACCACCTTCAAGGCCCTGCGTCGCCAGCTGCCTGTCACACGCACTAAGATTGACTGGAATAAGATTCTAAGCTACAAAATTGGCAAGGAGATGCAGAACGCCTAGAGGAAGGTCAGGGACTGACCAGGGAGACACACACTCCACTGGGCCCACAACCAACTTATAGATGTGCAAGGACTAACCAAAGCAAAACTTTATCAGTATGGGGCAAGGAATTAAAAATAATGATAATAAAAAAAATAGAAAAAAAACGGTTTAACTGAAGATTTACAGACTGTTAGGCACTGACATCCGTCTGCTGAAAGGAAGATGTGGTTATGGAGATAATCATGGTTTGAAGAAGGACTTTACTTCTGGATGTATGTTGTGAAAGAGTTGTGTTGGGTCAGTGTGCAGGGCTGTGCTCAGGACTGCTACATTTAAGAAGTTAATCATCCTCCCTGGTTGTCTAATGAACCGCAGACCTCTTATCACAAGGTTTCAGAAGTAACAATACTTATTCTTTTGTTAATTGTGAGCACGTCACAATGAAGGTCTTAGCACACAGGAAAAAAGAACAAGGACCGCACAAGGCAGCTGGTTACAGAAATAAAGCACATCATCTCTTATCAGGGTTTGATTTAGGACTGGATAAAAAAAAGGGTTTTGTTTCAATGTTATATAAAATGTAATTTGAAATCTGCTGCATACTTAACAAAAAATCGACAGGAAGATCGAAGCAGTCACCTGACAGCGAGATGTTGCTGGTAAAATGAAGAACTTGAATACTGGTCTTTGACATTTCAGAGTAGCAGGGTCCTCAGCATAGCTCTGTTCCTGCACGTTAAAACTTTTATGTTTGTTGGTGTCTGTCGGAGCTGAGAGAATGTTTGTTTTCTGTTGTTCTCTGCTGATGTGTTTGTCTCTACCCATGCAAGCTATGATGACTGAAGTGAAGATAAAGCGACTTTAACGCTGCTGCATCTCTAATGCATTGTCTGTTCTCTTACTTTGGCGACACCACCTCCATTGCTGTACAGCTTTTCCTTTGTGAAAGGAAAACAGAATCATATTAACCAAGATTTATTTGCCAAAATCTCTTTCCTATGGTAAAGAACTCCATCCTCCCATCCATGTATGCAAATTTCTATTTTAATACGCAGTTTGTTTTTTTTTTGTTCTGAGTCTTAGGATATTGCACTCTTCACTGTAAACAACCGTTAGTGTATTGGTCTATGCCAAGTGAACGCAAAGCAGTTGCCGTGTAAGGCAACACCATATACTGTATATGTTACATAACTTCTGTAAGGCCACATCATACTGTAAGTGTTACAAGAATTGTAAGTAGGCTGACTCTGGATCAGTTACTTGTTAGCTAAACTACGTGCAGTGTTAAACCCTCACACTATACTACAACTGTGTGCCGATCAGTTCTGAAGACTGTACTGCCCCATTCTGTTGTGCAAATAAATGGATTGAACATCTTGACAGAGTTCGTCTTTTACTGTGTTGCAACCATAAACTGTATATTGAATGGACGCCGTTCTCCTTGCTGGGTGAAGCCATTCCGAGAACAGCACCCTCTGGTGACGGGCTGCAGTATAGGTCATAAATCCCGCCTCTTCCAGCGATCCCCATGGAGCTGTGGACAAACTTCAGAAATTAATTACACGGAATTGAAATTTTTCTCCCCCCTGCTTGTGATGTTGACATGTAGTTATTGTAAGACTGGTTTGTGCTCAAGTCCTCTTTTTTTCTGTGCAGCTCCACTTTTACAAGTTATAAGGGGGTTCATGTTTTCTATGATTGACACTTGATACAGCCTATGTGCGTGCAAAGATTGTGCAGCTCACCCTGGGGATACGCTGTTTAAGCTGAGTGTCATCACAGCTAGTCTCCTGCCGAATGCATACAATGCTACTGTGCAATGTAGGTTTCAGGAAGTGGTGAAAAATCGTGGAGAGCTTTTCTGCTTCCAATCCGTATACTGGCGGAAGGCGAAACCAAGTTGTCCATAGTATATTCAGTCTATGGCTGCAACACACAAAACCTTTGCATCAGGATGAATGAAAACCAGTTGACACTTGAGGCTTTAAGGCATGGGATATTTATTTAAAATAGCACAGGGGTTCATGATATGCATATTTATTACAGGCAGCTGAGGGCCACTGCCCCCACAGACGTACAGTGTATAAATCTACAGATATAAACTGGCCAAAAAAAAAAAACTTAAATCAAGTCTTTGCTTTAAATTCAAAAGAATCTGATGTGTGGACATTGTACAATGAAAATTATTGAACACTATAAAAAACAACTACAGTCCCTTTTTGATGCTCACTGATCGAATATCCCATAGAGTCCATTGTCCTTCTTGGTTTGGGTGAAGCAGAAATTAACTTTCCCTGAACAAAGTAAAGTAAATTGTAGACAAACAGCATGATATCTTACAGTATAGAAGTATAAAGTGTCCCTTTTAGAAAAGATTCAGTGTCTTCTTAAAGTTTAAAAAAAACCAGCACATGCACGTGTCATTCATTCATTCAAAGAGAAACGACTGCTAATCCTTACAAACTATTTACACAATAACCTTGTTGTAATGGATCATCTCAATAAGAGATTTTTTAAAAAGTGGAAAGATTTAAGGACTAAGAACAAGGGATGCACCGATCCGATATTTGGATCGGATATCGGCTCCGATGTGGACAAATTAACTGGATCGGCTATCTGATGAATGACACCGATCCAGTCTTTTTCTTCTTTTAGTCAATATCATACACAGCAACACAGCGATTCTGTTCGCTCTATATTCTGTCTGTCTATCCGTTTGCGGTAAATGTTTACATGGAAGTCTTACTTCTTTTTGCTGTGTGCTAATGTGCAGTTTATTTGTTAATAAATAGTTTTAAGTTAATTCATATCTGTGTTAATTTGTTACCTTTTTTTTTTAACAAGGCTAATGTCAAGCCTGACGCCTTCACTCACAGGGCAAGGTATACAGTTCATTCATTCAACAGTAGTACTGGATCGGATATCGGCCAATACGCTCAGCCCACGTATCGGTATCAGATTGGATCGGAAAAAAATGGATCGGTGCATCTCTACTAAAAACTAACTTTTGTGAAATGGTGAAAGCTACATATTTGCCACACTCTAGGTTATTTAGCCCTTGTAACCTTTTTTCCTTCAGTTTAACAGAAGCGAAGCCAAAACTTTCAGAGCTCTACCTGATGGCTGGCTGCAGTGGAGGTCTTAAATAGGACATGGGCCAAGCTACAAAATAAAAATAAGTTATCAAAAGTATCAAAATGAAGGAATAAAAGCAGGAATATTCAATCATACTTTTAAGAACTTTGATTTCATTGATTGAGTTCCAGATCTTTCTTTTCCGATTAAGGTGTAACAAACTCTTGGATGCTCTGATCTGAACCCCTCCAACTTTATTGTGTCTAGACTGCGAGTCATAAACCTCATGAAGTGGCTCTAAAGGCTGGTACACATGAATTAATCATTAACTGCTGATTTAAGCCTAACACATTGCAGGAGTTAGTGTGTGTGATCTGGTTGTTAGCTGCTAGAAGATAAAAGCAGGTCCGGCTCCTTGTTTCCCTCTTGCCCGGTGTTGCTTTGTCCGCAGTTCCCCGTCAGCTCCGGGAAGAGGCTGCTTCGTGAAGAGTGACTCGGGGAGCCTGGTGTGGGACTCATACCCGGCTTTTTGGGAGGGATCGGAGGAGGATGGGTTTTCTCCGAGCGAGGAGTGAGAGGGGAGCGGATGCCTGGCGATAAAGGCCCTGAAGACGGAGACCGCCCCCCTGGAGGGGTCGCCGCTACATTACGATAGTCTGTACCAAATGGGGAGCTGCTGATGGGCGCCAGCTTCACCCCTGCCTGTTGGCTGGTGAAGCGGGACAGCACCTGGGTGACGGTGTTGCGGGCCAGCTGCTTGGCTGTGCTGTGCTCTGGTGGGGGCAAAATGGAGGAGGAGGTGGTAGGAGAGAGGTCCCTGGGGGAGAGGGGGCCACCGTGCAGCTGCTGCTCCAGCTCCGCCTGGCTCTGGAACTTGTGTCGGGCCGCCTGGAAACGTTGGTTGACTCCAGCCTGGTAGGAGGACTGATGGAAGCCGGGGCTGCCCAGACGCTTGGCGAGAACAGGGGAGGAGATGGGAGAAGAGGAGAGGGAAGAGGAGGCTGTACTCGAAGGAGAAGGAGGATGAGGGTGATGATGGGGGTAAAGAGGGGAATGCAAATGCCCCCCTCCCCCATTTTCTACCACTGCTCCATTTTCTGCTCCTCTGCCTTCCTGAGTCGGCTCAGTCTCTTTATGAGCATGATAGCCGTTAACCTTTGACACCGATGTAGGTTTGGGAGCTATCTTTCCATCTGGCTCAGTCTGAACAGAGGCGGACACTGCCGTCACCTTGGATACTGACTCTTTGACTTCTTGCACAGCCTCTTTTACCTCTTCCTCACATCCTCCAGTCTCAGCCAACCTCTTCCTCATCTCCTCAAGCTGCTTTTCCAGCTCCGTGCTCCTCTCCTCCTCTTTCGTGATCCTTGCCTTCATCTGTCCTCGTTCTGTGTCAAACTCAGACAACTGCCTCTTAGAGCTAGCCTCTAGCTGAGCTGCTCTCTTCCTCTCTTCCTCCAGAACCCCCTGGAGCTTCTCCAGAGCGCTGGCCTCTTCTTGGAGCAAAGTTTGAAGCCGGGCAGCTTTCTGGGCCTCCTCCTGGGCCTGGCTTTTAGCCTTCTGGAGGTCCAGAGTCAGGGAGGAGGAGAGCTGCTGCTGCTGGGAAAGTGACTCCTCTGCCTGGTTGACCGCCTGTGCTTGCTCCTCTTCCAGCCTTTGCATGGCGGCACGTTCCACTTCCAACTAGAAAGAGATGATAAGGGATTAGGGAGGCAACAATTCCAGATTTGACCACAAGGAGGCAAGAGCACACTGATGTTAGACTAGACTGAACAGGAGGAGGATATTTCCTGGTATCAATAACCCAACTGTTCTCTGAAAGGGAAGTCTTCTAGCTTTTCCATAAAACATTTAGATTAGTGTTTTGCGCTTAATCCCTTAAATTTGAACACTAAACTTCAGCTGGTAGCAGTTGATAGTGTCTTTTTGTCAAATTAGAGCTTTTTAATCAGACTATTTGGACATACTAAAAAGGTAATCTTTCTTTTGTGTGCAAATAAAAGTGAGATTTCTCTTGTGCTTTTATTATATGATTAAAACCTCAATTAAAACTCTTTTAAAAAAGATTAAGTGTTGTAAATTATGTAGTTTTTGCAAAATAAGGCCCACGCTGACAGACCAAAGCACACAATCCCTAAATAGCTAACTAACTTTTGAGGTAATGAATTGTTTTTCACTTTTTTCCAAGCTTTTTTGGTATTTATTGACACATTATCTAAAAACAAATAAAGTGAATCTGCTCTAAAAAGACCCGAACTGGCAGAAGGGATTTTGGCAGAATTCATTGTTTTAGAAGCAGAAGGGACATTTTAAGAGACAGTTGTTTATGTTCATCCTGCTTTGATAGTAATTTGCTTGCTGGGCATGTTTTTTTAAAAGTTGAGTTTAGTATGGGGTCATAAGAGGGTGACCAGGCTGCTTAAAAGCTTTGATGAGTAACAGGGGGGAAACTGGAGGTGATGAAACACAATCTAGAGTGTGTGATTACTGCACAAAAAACAACACTGACGGGAAGGCCTGAGGAAGACCAGGAGACACTCAGGAAGCCCGTCTTACATAAGGCCCCCGGGCGAAGTTTGTATAGCGAGTGGCTGACTGTGAGCTCACAGCGTGTGTGTCTGAGTGTGTATGTGAGCTGACCTTGCATTAGACATGGACATCCATTATCTCAGGTTTCCTGAGGCTGTAAAGCCCCATGGCTTCTGGACAACTAAACAATGGCCTCTTCCTCCTCTGTTTCCTGTGGAACAGCCCAGCTTGTGCTTTCGGGTGTCTGTGTGAGCCTGTACTTCAACAGGGCGAGCTCTCTCTCTCTCTATCTGACTGAGTTACACAATAGAATGACCCTGCTTTACTGCTCGGCTTTTAAATCACAGATGCTGCTGCGATAAAGGAGAAAGACAAACTGAAGAGACGTGCTTGTCTTATCAGCAGGTGGGAATGCAAGTGTTGGTAATATTTGACCATCATTATCAGTCATAAAAATGTATAAATGAGCCTTCAGACAGTATTGTTGGACATGAAAGTGATACCTGTTGTAGCAGCTTGTCTCTTTCTGTCTGCAGCATGAAGGTGAAGTCATCATTTTGAGCAGAGTCCTGGGCATGGCGTCTCTTCTCCTCCTCCAGATCAGCTATCATCTGTCAAACACACAAACACACAAAGCATTGATTAGACATTATTTAATCTAAGTCCTCTCTAATAGTGTTCATAACTTAAAGGGATATTCTGGCGTAAATTTAAGTTTTGGTCAAACACACCCTAACACCGAGTTAGACATCCACTCGAGAGATGAATTTTGCCGACTGCTTGCTTCTCTAGTTATACTAACTTTAGTAACGACCACACGATAGCAATACACAGCGGTCTATCACCCCACGGGAAAACCTCAACCAAAACGCCATTCTATAGCCACAAATAATGCTCAGACAAGCACCTAACTTCATCAACAGTACATATAGGGTCCCAGCCATAGACATCAAACATCTTTTAAGCTTTGCCTAATTTCTTTAGCAAAGAGACTCAACACAACTCACCTACTCTCCTCCAGCAGCCGCTTGTTTGAGTGCGAGCCCTGACGAGTCGATCACCAAGTGCAGTGGAAAATTTATGATTATTACTTCATGGAAATGCAATCAGACCGAGACATTAAGGCAGAAGAACTACTGAGTCTGCAGTGCAAGATGATTATTATGATGATTACTACTTCAAGGAAATGATCCGCTGCATATCATTTTGCACAGCAGACGCGGTACTTCTTCTGCCTTAATGTCTTGTTCTGATTGCATTGCCATGAAGAAATGATCATAAATGTTCTTCCTTGAGCTGTGAAACTCTCCTGCACTTGATGATCGACTCGTCAGGGCTCCCACTTAAACAAGCGGCTGCTGGAAGAGAGTAGGTGAGTTGTGTTTTGTCTCTTTGCAAAAGAAATTAGGCAAAGTTAAAAAGATGTTTGGTGGCTAGTACTATGGCTGGGACCCTACATGTATTGTTGATGAGTTAGGTGCTGTTCTGAGCATTATTTGTAGCTATAAAGTGGCTTTTTGGTTGAGGTTTGCACATGGAGTCGTAGACCGCTGTGTATTTCTATCTTGCGATCATTACTAAAGTTGGTATAACTAGAGAAGCAAGCAGTCGGCAACATTCATCTCTCGAGGGGGTGTTTAACTCAGTGTTACAGTGTATTTGACCATGACTTAATTTTACACCGGACTATCCCTTTAAATTAGCCTTCAGAACTGTGAGAAAGCTGCACATCAGCCCCTAAGACTAAGATGTGGCTGCTGTCTGTAAACCTAGCTCCCCTAAGTCGAGTCTGCAGAGAAGACGCATGCACACATTCACATACACAACAACCCTATTGTGCAAGCGGGCGCCCCAGTGTCACACCAGCGTCCTCCCAGCACGCAAATCTGAAGTGCCGACATGTGAGCTCCAGAACACACCATGTGGGAGAGATTGAGAGTGAACCGGATCTTACCCTCCTGTGTCTGCTCTCAGCAGCGGCCAACTGTCCCATCATCCTCTCTTGCATCTTCTTACAGTGAGCCATGACCAGTTTAAGCACAGCAAGAGGGTTTGGGCCCACGGCGCGGCCCTGCAGGTGTGTGCGCGTCTGAGCGAGTGTGTTCTGACGCTCCTCGGATTCACTGTCCCGCTGCAGGGCGAGGAACGGATCGCTGAGGTCATACTGGCCATATCGCTCCTGGACGAAGGCATCTCTTTGCTGAGCCTGAAAGACACAGAGAGAAAAATATGGGGCAAAGATGAAACACAAATCTAGGTAAACAAAATAAATAATGTCAGAAAAATCTATCATGCACACGAACAGTTACACTAAAAAGAGTCGGCTTTTAGGTAACAATTTTCTGTACTTTCTGTCCACTGACAAGCGTGTGTATTTTTGTGTGCAGGAAATCTGTGTGGAGTGATGTTTTTGTCAGCGAGAGCACAAGCAGATGGTGTTCCCCCTCAACCCAAACACAAAGAGGTGAGGCACTGCTATCCCACCCCCACAAGGGGCAGATGTTAACTCCTCCCCAGGGATGCAGGGGTGACAGCCTGGGCTATTAAAGCGCACACACACTCACACACTCACAAGCACAGAGCTCAGAAGACAGAATAATAGTTCCTCAGGGGACAAAATATTTCAAAAGTGCAAACGTGTCTCATTTTACCAAGTTTGTCTCAGTTTCTTCCAGAGAGAAAAAGCTGAAGAAGTGTCAAGAAATGAGACAGATCTTTGTTGACCTCGCTCCGGGTCACCCCGTTAGATCATCAGGAGGTCCAGGTCACTACACACCGAGCAGGTTGGAGATCCTGAGGCATGCAGGGTCAGCTGGCAGTGCTAGTGGTGTCAGCGAACGCGGCGGAGTTCACTCCACGTGCCTCCAGGACACCAGTCACTGTCTCCCCTGACACCCCGCTTCTCCAGCTCCCCTTGTCCCCCCACAAACACGCACGGCACGGCATTCCTCTGCCAGTTCACCAACATCATCATTTCTCAGAAGAATGCCTATTTCTACTTCCGCCTCTCTCTCTGCCTGCCTTTTTTCTCACACTCTCAGAAATACACACACACTGAGCCTGAGGGCATCAGTAAGGAGGCTGCATTTCGAGGCCTGGACAAAGAATGTGACCCTCAGCGAGGAGATTACAGGACTCCAACAAAGACACTGTCTCAGAGCCTCCAGTCTCCTGCATTGTCTCCATGTCTGGCCTGGTAGGCTTCAATGCACCAGAGTGCGCACAAGTGAGTGAGTGTGTGTGTGTGTTTTTGTGCGTCCTTTCCCCTATTTTATTTGGGCGTGTATGTGTGTTTTTAAGCCATTGTGTGTGTGTGTTTACCTGTGGCTGCATGCTTGTGTTTTTGTGCCAGGCTTTGGAGTAAAGCTGTAAAGCTCCTTCGTCTAGAGGTAGACAAATCTGCAGCTTCCTGAGGTAAATAACAGTTTAAAGAGATCACGAAGGGCATGGCTGAGATTGGATTATGTGTGTATGTGCGCGAGTGTGTGTGAGTGTAAGTGTAGCCATCCATTTTTAGGGTCTGTCCCTTCATGGTTTTTTTCTCAGGATAGATCTGATCATAATGACAGAGTGTGCTTTCCTTTATGAGAGGGCCCAACAAGCAAACCAGCAGCAAACTCCCATTTCTGGACGAAAAGTGACAGAGAAAGTTTCTAGGACCAAAGGTTGGCAGTGATTTATCGGTTTGTTGCCAATGTTTGTTTACTATTATGAATTTCCATGAGACAAGTAGAGTTCATGTAAAATATAATGCAATGTTACACTTGTTTAAAGTCCCACTCTGATCGTTTTTGTTTTTACACTTTAAAGTGTTCTCAGTGGTCTTTAAATTGTGATTATTTTTTTCGCCAAAATCGCATTACCTGTATCATTTTCAAGGGCTTTTCTTCTGCAGAGCTCAGAGATAATTAGCAATTCGCCTCTGAGTCGTGGGCGGAGTCAGCGCTGCTCTGCCCACCTCTTTTCATGCTATTTTGCAGCCTAACATTGCCGGTGTAAAAGTAGCAGGTAACATAGAAGCGATTCAGCTCTCGGACACTAATGTAGTTAATATCATATTTAGATTTCTTACGAACATTGTAATTCGTTAACACACGCTTGTTTCATGATCGTCCTCTTTATTTCTCCGACTGTGGCCTGCATAGGGGGCTCTGGGGGCAAAGCTTGGATTTGCTACGTAGGAAATCTCACTGTTTCTAAACTTGCGTTTGGGTCTGCATGAGATTCACAGCCATTTGAATCCCCCCTTTTTTCTCATAATATGTCCTGTAGCATGGGAAAAATGCTATATGAACATCTAAAACAATAAAAACATGATTTTTATCGAAGTGGGTCTTTAAGCATTTCCCTTTCCAACAGTGCATCTGCATCCTCTGCTGCATTCCTGCAGCTGTAACAAGGTGTGAAGGACAACTCCATGTTTTTCACCTGGAAATAGTCTCTGTCAGTCTGTTACCCACGGCCTCAGGGCACAATCAGTCCTTGTGTGTGGTGAAAAGAGCCAGGGAGTCCAGTTTCCTCAATGAGCTTCACACAATTATCTTCAGAGCCAGCATGGGCAAAATTGCATCTCTGAATGGTATTGAGAGTGGGTCTCAGGTTACAAATGCAAGGTTTGGCCCTTAATTCGATTCCCATAGAATAAAGTGGGTGAAAGACAAGTGTTATCTTACATACGCATGCATAATATCTGTGTGCACAGGCATCTATGAGCCTGCAGCTGGCATATAAGTGCACCATGCTGGGTTCTTAGCATAACCTGCAGTCTCCAGGGTAACATCCCAAATCCAAAAGCTTTGCAGTGGGGGGTGATGGGAAAAGTATGCATTCCTGTTGAATTAGTCCGCTTCCCAGAGGAACAGTTAGACACCCAGAGACAAAAGGACAGCAGGACTAGACCTGTCAGATATGAAAAGCTTCTTTGAATGAACTTAAGGGGTCCAGAGCAAGCGCCCTTAGCAAATAGTAGGGCAAAGGACTATGCATAGAGATTCTCCAGCGTTTCACTTGAGTTATACGCCCAAAGAAATGCACCTCTGACACTGTCAAGTTTTTCGTCTTTTGTCAAGCCAAAGTTAAATAGAGTTTGCGGTCATGGAGAACAAAGAGGACAGTGGGTGAGATTCTGTCAGATTCTGTTCAAATTCATTTCACTGCTTTCTTGGATGTGAAACTGAGACTTGAGTGGTGCAGTTTTTTTTTTTTACCCTTCAGGGGTGTACAACCCCTCTGATCCACAAAGTAGAGGGGAAGGAAATAGAGTGTAATGACCACTCGTCAGCCATGTCAAATAACAGGCTTTGACAGGTGAGAGGTATCAATCTAGTGGTCGTCACACCACATTTAACAGAACTGCTGGAGCTGCAAACTTAAACAGACACAAAGGGCCCTGACCCGTTTTGTAAGTGCTGATCACTGGAGCATTCTTAAAATTACTTGTCAGTCTGCTCGAGGAAGTAGAAGCAAATAGGACAAGGAAACAAGACTGTGTTCACAGCTATAAACAAAATAAAGCTCTTATTTGTCATCTGCTGCCTTTCAGTCAATTCCTCAAAACATATTAAGGCCTGTGTCCACCACAGACATAATCTTTTTTGAAGAGGGACTTTTGATATCAATTTCCCTAACAATGTTTTTCAAGCCTTTCTGTTGAAGAAGGTAACCACACTTTTGCATAGAGTGTACAGCTTCTAGGTTTAGAGCTACTGCTGATGCTAGTTTATGGTTTCTATACACACAGAATATTTGAAACAGATGTATCAGTCACCACTATGTGGAGCAGAAATGCAGCGGGTGCAACTTTTGCAGTGTGGTGGCAGAGAGCATAGGTAAGAAATACTCCGAAACTGAGGTCATGGGTGCTGCCAATGAAGTAATACCATTAGTGGACACAGGCCCTTATTATAGTGATTAAGATAAGCTGTACACACAGGCCATGTTTATTCAGTCTTTCTCTAAGACAGCATTTCAGACCATTTGAAATATTTTTCTAATTAAAAAACAGATGAAAATAATTAAATTGGGAATAGCAAGTGTGCTCTACTAGTGTCCAAGTTTGGCAGAGCACAAGATATGGAATATGGCGTAATAGCCTAAAGTTGAAGGCAAATGACTAATGACAAATGACAACACAACCAACATAAAATTTGAGGCTGTTTGAGCTAATTTGTGAGTTGATTTTTCCTTCTGTGTGTAAGTTAACATGTTTCAGCACAATAGTAGTTGTTCTTTTGGCTCTCTTGTGGTCTCGACCAGATGATAACTTTGCTCAAAGTTAAGCTAACCAGCTTATTAAGTCATGTAAGAGCAGAAGAGGTCTTCAGAGCTCAGTCTTTGCCTCTTGTACTCCAAAAGTCAATTAGGATTAAACTGATTAGTTTGCCCTTGTTTGTCTCTAACCGCAGCATGAATGGTTGGAAGCTAGTGTGACCCATGATAAAGATTTTCTCCACTTTACTAAAAGTTTTGTTTTTTCTTGAATATCTAAAAAAAAGGAGGTAAAAATGATCCAATACAATTTGTGTAATACTCTTGCACCCGACCCAGAAACATGTGTCAGCGCAGAAAAGAGGGAGACAAGATTTATAGCATGTATGCTTTTTGAAGTGTAAAGGAAGGTGTGTGCTTAAGGCTTAAACTGTATCCTCCACACCTCCCACCTACACATTAACCACAGATTGCACCAAGATAACTGGGAAGACGCCAAACAAAACCTCACGTTACTTTATGGGCCTACTCTGAGACAACTTCCAAGTAATGTTTGACTTGCTCAGACGCTATTGTCAGTGGTTAGTGATGAAATATGTAGGACAGCGCGCTTGCCCTTCGGCCAGACCAAGCTTTTGGAGAATAACATATCATTAGGTGGAACAAGGAAGTGCTCTGGTGTTTCTTCAAACTGGGTCAGAAATTTAACTGGAAGAATCAACTGAGCCTGACATAAACTCCTAGAAGAAAGCTGTGTTTTTCTGATCTCCCACTCGCTGTTGCCTATGCATTGACTAATCTCTTCAATCACAGTAATTTGTGGCTGCTGATTGCCCCCTGTTCAGTGAAGGGTGGAGTTCTTGAGCATTACAGATATGACCCTGTTCTTTCTAATTGGATAACTGATAAGCGAGGCTGCCATAGAAAGGATATTTTCAAGCAAACATGAGCCATACTTTGTCATTTATGTGGATGAATTATTGCTGTTTAAGTATGTGACTCTGCCGTGCTTATATCTCGCTTATTTTTCTGACATGACTGAAAGAAGGTAGCTTCAGGTACTTTGATGTCATCTGAGAATTTTCAGGTCAGGGAGCTTTCCTCTGGCACGCCTTGGGCTGTAATGGAAGTACTGCACTGTCTGACATCATGGATTAGCATGCATTACATTGCTGTTATCTTGTATCACTTTATTTTTAAGTGCACGTTCCTTACGCTTTGAGCTATATTTTGCATTTTCATGTCTTATCTTACATTTTACCCTCACTAACCAAGACAACATGTCCAAACTGGGCAGTTTTGATTCTTGTTGAGTAACAGTGTGTACAATCTTATCTGGACAAAACACTCCAGCCAGGCCCTATTGTTTTACAGAGTCAGGAAAACACGTCAGCCTGCAAAAATAGACGAGGCATTTGAAGATTACAGGACATGACATCATATGAAAAACAAAACAGGGCATACTAAGCATGACTGAAAATTTTTTGACCACACAAGGTTGGCAGCCTGGGTAAAGCAAACCATTTTGAGCACTGAAAAACAGCAATGTTTGTTTTTCCAGGCACAGATGCCCAAATATGACCAAGCTGGAGTCATAAAGTTTGCTTGTGTTTATGGTTTCAAGCAGTTAATAATCAAAAAGGCTGAGAATAGGGCTGGGCGATATGGCCTCAGATCAGCATTACGATATATTAAGCAGTTAACCAAGCTCACCCCCTCCCAGACTAACTTCATCAACTTCAGCCGCCGCTCCAGCTGTTACAACTTTTAAACTGTCCTCCATCCACCTGTCTTTCCCTCTTTGTTATGGACTGGATAGGACAGTGTCTTAAAAGGACATGAGACCATAGCCTACCTAAACACATCTAAAACCAACTTTTATCTATTTGTCTTTTTGACACCGAATATACTGATATGAGCAAAATGACGTCAGTTATTGTCATAAATTTCAGTACCTGTAAATTTTCGGTTTATCGCCCAGCCCTAGTTTATTAAGAGTTTATTGTCGGTGTTTCAGAAGCATGTTTTTGTCTTCTATCAAAGGTATGCTTTCATATCTTTAGATGGCATTTCTATAAAGGCGAACTCCAAGAAGGATATGCCAACTACGCCCGTCAAGGACACGATAATAACAGCTTTGTTCCAGTAAAGGTATAGACAATCATCAACTCAAACTCATACGTCACCCCTGTTGGAATGCAGGACCTGTTCCTGGTGTCATGTTTTCAGGAATGTTCCCTCTAGTAAAACTGCTATCCATGTCCTCAGAGGTAGGAGCCAAAAAAAATACAATCAAGAAGCTGTAGAGACAAGTCCCAAAGGTGACGCAATCTTAATGGTAAGTAAGCAAATACGGATTAAGCTCCAAGTTTTGGGGATTTGGAGGTGAAAGAAGCGAGCAGAGAGCTCCTGAATGCGGTTGTCCCGAGCAATCTAAAGGCATCCCAAGTGTTCGCTGCTGGGAGGAGAAAATATTTTAAGTATAAAAGAATGGCAAGGGTAAGAGACCCGTTTTTTGTCCTGTTCATCTGCTCTAACATGCAAATTAATAGTGTGCACACCGTTTTAGAAAGACAGTATGTGGTGTATCAAGATTCGGAAAAAAGTCACAGTGAAAAAAAAGGAAAAGCTTCCACAAACAGAAGACAGTGCAAACAGATCTCCTGTGAGGCGAGATCAATGCACAAAGACACACAGCTCAATACTGGATAAATTAGCCTGCTATCACCCCCTGACACATCTCTCTGCAGCCACATGTCTGCACTCAGTCGACATGCTCAACAGGCCCCCAGTGGGGACAAGGGAAGTCGGTGATTTGAGCCTACAACTCTGTACATCCTCTCTGCAGTAAACACTGCAGCCTCTAAGTGGCCCACCAGAGACCACCGGAGTGTGTGTGTGTGTGTGTGTGTGTGTGTGTGTGTGTGTGTGTGTGTGTGTGTGTGTGTGTGTGTGTGTGTGTGTGTGAGTGAGCGAGTGGGCAAAGAGGACATGGGTCATGGTTGAACATGAAAGACTCCACGCAATGTGGCTGCTCAGGGGAGAAAGGAGGGAGAGGGGGAAAACAGAAGGGTTTGAGATATAGAAAAAGGAATGAAAAGTACAAAAAGGCAACTGTATCTTTAGTATAAAGCAAATGGCTGTGATTGGTGTGTGTAATAGTGACTATAAAGGCCTGTTTATCAGAACAAGACAGTCATGGCTGTTACTGATGCTCATTACAACCTCAGTGCTTCAGACAATGAGTCAAGCTGCTTCATGGAGCAGCTGTTGTGGTCATGACTGGATGAAGCAGCCAAGGGGATGGAGAGATCCAGACTAAACTCAAACAAAGCAAAGCACTGTGGATGAAAAAAAGCAGCTCGGACATTTGGATAGAGAGAGTGAATGAGCTACATGAAACTACTAAAGCAGTAGTTTGAAAGTGCAACCCTCAAAGTTCCCCCTCATCCAAAATAGATGTTTCATTTTTTTGAATTAGAAATGCTTTGAACTGATTGACATCTACAGTACATGCCGACAGCCTAACCCAAGAATAACCAAATATTAGCTTTGGATGTATTCAGACTATGTTTATTTTTGCTGTACACAGGAGTACGAAGATGACTGATTTAGGATATTCCCTCCCCCTTTGATTCACAATGTTTTTTAAACCACATTTTTAGCTTCTCCACATCTAAGCATTTTCGAACCTCATTAACTGTTCTGGCTTCACTTTCTTGGAGCAGCTGTGTCGTCTATCTTCTTGATTTTAAACAAACAGTCACTAGATAACTATCTAAGCAGGAGACTGTCAGACCTGAGTTAAAGCACAAATTGGACACCCAGGTCTGAATAAGTGCTTGGGTCAGGGGGAAATAAGAAGCAGTTTTAAATCAGAATGACTTATCAGACAGATCTGATAAGCAACAATGCTGGCGTTGTGCTGGAATTGAAAGGCCAGGGAAACCAGAATGACTCCGGTGCCATTGTCTTTTCAAGCCTTGTTTCCTTAAGTTTCCTGTTTACACATCCCCTCCCTGTCTGCTCACATTCTTCTTTGGGGGCTGTAATGTAAAACTGCTTGATTTTGGTGTCTAAGGCTGTCTTGAGTAACAGCACATAACGACGAAAGGAAATGTTTTGTTTGATAGGTTTCACAAATTGTTGTAATTGTTGTGTGTACTGCTGTCAATGTTTGGAAATTAGGTCTATGCTCTTTAATGTTTGTTACATGTTTTGCAATCCAGAGTCCTTGGAGGGTGGTGGTCCTGGTGGTGGGTGGCATTACTTACCCTGAGTGCATGTATGACAACATCCTGGGCCTCCAGCTCACCCTCCAAAATACTGAGGAGAGTCAGCAGCTCTGCCCTGCTTAGAGCCTCCACATTCATCTTCTCATCCTGAGGACACAACGAGAGAATTGGAGAAATATTCTGGTTAAGACATAAATGGACTTTCTTTGCCTTTATTATGCACTGTGAGGCACAGAGCTGCTATAGGATGGGACAAGGGGGCCTCACTTGGTTGTGCTCAGGGTTATAAACAGGAAGTGATTAGCATATCTGCATGTTAAGTTGCTGAAGAACCATGGACAGCTGTCTGCTCTGCTCTATTCAGTCTCCACAGCCGGATTTGAAGACTGAGACGGTTTCTCTACATGAAATAGTAGTAGTTTCAAATCACTCTCACGGCACAGGCTATGATCCATCCTCCACTATATCCTGTGATTCACCAGTTCGGTCAAGTCTAGTCACATAACATGCACTTCAGGCAGCTGACCTCACCCTAAAAATGAAAAGAAAGACAAAAACAGCTGACTTCATCTTTTAAAAATAAAGGTGTAGTCACAATCTTGGTTTTTTTTCAGTGCTCTAAAATAGTAAAGCACTGTTTTTGTGCGAGTTAACTATGCGGTTGACAAAGTGTGTAAAATCAGATAACAGGAGCCTGTTTTTTGACTTTCGTTCATTCTGTAAATCCCTCTGTATAAGAAGTACGAGTAATCCTCACTTCAAACAAACCCGTCCGCACCTCTTTGCTACCAGAGAAACTGGTACCAGAGGCTAAAACTCAAGTGAAGTGTTTACTTTCTCGCAGAAGTGTCCAAATTCCTCAGAGCATTCTGTGGCGCACCACACATTCACAGCAAAGCAACACTGTGTCAATCAGTAGTTCTCACTTGACACGTTCGGAGAGGGTGGTTTCCAGCACTGCACCACACACAAACACTATGATATAAGTTTAATTATTAGGTGCCTGTGCTTTTGGTTGTGACTGTAGGCCAAACTTGCTATTTGTCACCAGATATCTGTGAAAAAAAGAGACTGGATAATCAATTCAGCATTCCTGGGATGCCCACACCATGGGGATCATCACTCAGGAGCAAATCCCACGAAGTTGTATCCTTGCAAATTTGACTTTGTGAATCCTGAGACTTAATCTGAACAGTCCTGTCAGGAGGTATTAAATTCATGCAAATGATGTTCAAGCCAGATTAACAAGTCCAGACAGAGGCAAGAGCTAATTTAACCAGCACTATTGTGAGGTAGGTGTCTATAAATCTCTGCTCATCTCAGCCATTTCTCTCAGCGAGCAAACAAAGCCTCAGTTAAACTTTACTCAGCCTTGTTGTGGTAATGTGCTCAATGTGCAGGACAGGGTGCTCAGTGTGTTCACAGCAGTAAACGTTCACAGTGGTTGCTGAGGAACAGCCGAGGATCCACCTGCCGTCCAGGGCCTTTGTCTGACTCAAGAGACTGTCATTATGTCCGTGAAGGCAACACTTAGTTTATAATTGTCCCAGGCAGCACAAAAAACACATCAGCTACCGTTTAAATTGTGATTATGGTTTAATCAATATGGCATCAATAACAGTGAAGTAGGCTACACACACCCATCAGCCTGTAAGGAACTCAACGTGGAAGACCTGAAGTGACACAAATTACAATCTCTACATGCTATTTTAACCATAAAACCACCATTATTGCTTTTCTTTTCTTAAATTGAACCAAAAGTTTCACTAAACTGAAAATTCCAAGCCCCATACATTACAAGCCAATTGCAGGTTGTGTCACAGACCTGTCTATAGACTTTGGCATTCTGCTTTCTTCATGCAGACGGGCAAAAACTGGAGGTTGAATTTCAACAGGTTAGTTGCGAATACCACTCACAACCTTTCCGTGTGCAAACATACCTTCATACGCTCTGTTTCAGCCGCATTAATTGTTCCCCAAATCCAAAAATGAGGCTCCACAGCAGCATGAATCAATGCAGCCCACTGTCACAGGGCGCTCTCACTCTGAGGCGAGTGTGAACAACAGACGTTCAGTGACGAGGCCGCCAGCCAATCAGAGAGCCTCACAGCAACAACGCGACCAATGGCAGACAAGCTTGTTTTGAAGAGGGCGGTTACAAGGGCGTTCCTTGATCTGTGAGATAAACCTCTTTGTTTCGGACGTCCAGTGTTAATTTCTTGTTGATTTCAGCACATCTTCTCACCCAGATAGCACCCCTGAGCCGTTTATTTTTTGGCAGATTAAGCTTACATCGTTCTAAATTTCCACATTTTTAAAAATAAAGAGTAAAAATACACCCAAACCCTAAGCTTTGTGAGTACAGGCCAATTTAAAAGATGTATTCCAACAAGGTACGAATGCAAAATGTGAACATGCACAAACAACACGTGAACAAACGATTAAAAAAACTTGTTCTGCAAATCATTTTATCAAAATGATCTTGGAGTTCACGCCTTGTATGGGCTTGCATCCTCTGAAATGGTGTTTTAACTCCCCTTAATGGCCAAATGACTGTATCGCTTCTCAGACCTCTCTCAAGTCTGAAGGAGTGAGCTTAAACACGTCTGATCTCTTATGATCTGTAAACATATCAAGTCTAACTTTAAAGTTTTGCAGCCCTTACAGCAAATAGGTCAGGGTACTATATATTATATAATTTTCCTCCAGTAGGCAGAGTAGCATTGTGCCAGTTTGTGTATTAAGTGCCAATCACATCATGGCAAATAACTTGTTTAAGATGATGTTTGAAAATGGGTATATAGCTATGTGCTAGTTTGATCACCCAATTTATTGGAGTGTGGGGTCATGTTGGAATTCATCTGCCCCTTCAAACAATGTCCTGACATTTGAAAGTAGGCCAGTTATTCACTGACACAGAATAGACAGCGCACAGACATTGAATAGTCTAATCTATGTTCTTTGCCTCTTTTTGTTTCGGTCCTGCCTTTTATATACTTGGTCTTTATGAAGAGTAAGTGCAGAAACCTGATAGTCGACATGTTTTTGTTACAGGATCTGCTTCAGATTTTGCTCAGGCTTTGTTGCTGAGAGACAAGAAACGTCCACATTACTTATCTGTTCTTACATAAAGTCCTGTACAGAGTTCTCTGTGCACATATCAGACTGTACTGATAACTCAAGACTGAAAGTAGCTGCAGGTACCTGATCCCAGTAGGCCATCCTGTATTTGAGTCAAAGTTCAGAGTCTTTTTCTCGAGGAAATTGTATGTTACATAAATCAAAAACAACTCAATAAACATTGGAAAGCTGGGCATACAGTGTAAAAAATAATCTCAGTTGCATGTAGAATACCTGCTTGTCTTGTGTTAGAGGTTACATTGTAGAGCGAAGTAAAATGTTTTTTAAAAGAACAGACCTTATTTAATCTTTATTTTTATTTTTTTTACAAAAGTATTTGTCATTAAAATACTAAGGCATTTATGCAAAATTAGATTGTATGGCTTGTTTAGGTGTTGCTATTGGGCTCCCTTCTTTTACTTGACCAAGTAGATTATTAAATTATATACAACTTAAGGTCAGCACATGTTGTTTGAATCAACTGGACAATCTAGACATTAGATTTTTAACCTTTAATCTCTAATTAATGGTCTTTTATGAGTCTTTTACTTTTTTTTTTTTTTTTTTTTTTTTTAAATTGCTTTATTGCTTCTGTAAATGACTTGGTATCACTGTAAATGAGAGTTGCACCTCAATTATCTCCCAGGTCTTGATAAAGGTCAAGAGACTGATTGGTGAGAAGTGTACAAACAGCAAAACCACACACAAACTCTAATGAAATAATTTTTATTCCACTTTAGAAAAACAAGGCACATATGAGGTTTGATTTTGAACATATTAGTGCAATGAATCATACTAAAACTTATACATGAAGTAAATCACTGTACAATGTCAGTCAAAGGGCACAAGAGGGTGAGGAAGTATTTTTATTGCCTCCACAGCTCAATCAGCTCGCCACATACCTTTCACAACTTATGAAATGTGGAGCAAAGAGCACAGCCAACCAGGAAACACATTCAACATGGAGACAAAACAAACAGAAGCACAATATTATACCAGTGCGAGCAGTTAACATATTTGACACATTAATATGCAATTTATCTAAAGATTTAAAATACCAGGGATGCATCCTTCAGAGATGCATGTGGAGACAACAAAAAGCAGGTCAATACAACAAAAACAAAATTCATATTTTTGTTAGCAGAACTGAGCCCAGGACAGAAGTTAGTGATTTTAGTTCCATAAATTGCACGTGTGTACCATTTAGTAAATATGGGCTACAATTCTTTACCTTTGTCATGTCATTCAATAAGTTTTCCATCAACGCATTCAGCTGTAGACCAGTTTATAGAAAAGAAAACACAATATAGAGAAGTCTTTGGAAATATAGATAGGTTTTACATAATAAAAAGTGTTCAGTATGAATTGTTGTAAAAGTGTTAGGACGATAAGTTCAATGAGATGTAGAATATTGTGGTTATTTAAAGCAGGTTCAGTGAAAGTTGTCAGTGTGTGAAACAGGCTTAATTTGATGAAGACTACTCAGTGGTTCTTGGCTCCAGCTTCAGTTTGATGGGATTCTTGGGTGTAGTAAAACCATCAATGCCAAGCTCCAGTGGAATCTAGAGAAAAACAAAAAGTAATTAGTCTAAAAGCAGCTATACCAGAGTTCAGATTCAAAGAGGCTTAACTATGCACCAAAATATCCTTCAACCACAGGTAATGAAAAAGCAAACTTACATCTGTCTCCTTGCATGGGACAAAGCTAAAGTCCTGCAAGATCTCCACCATGGCTAACTTCATCATCAGGAGAGCAAATCGCATGCCTATGCAGTTCCTTGGCCCTGCTCCGAACGGTAGGAAGGAATAAGGATCGATGTTGTCTTTGTTCTCTTTGCTGAACCTGAAGAGAAACATAAGGATAGTCAGTCAAGGTACCTAACTCTGGTTAAATCTGACCTTCACCTGACATTCATTCAGTGTTGTACCTTTCTGGTTTGAAGGCGTCTGGTTCAGGCCACAGGTCAGGGTCACGCTGGAGAGGGTAAATTGGTACCATGACGGTGGTTCCTTTAGGGATGGTGATACCGTTCACTTCAACAGAAGTCTTCGACACCCGCTCTAAACGGTTGGCAATGGGGTAAAGCCTCATGGACTCATTAATCACCATGTCCAGGTATTCCATTTGCATCAGAGCTTCATAGTCTGGTCTAACCTGTAAAAAGTCACGGTTGATCTTAAGTTGAAAGTACACAACTAGTGGCTGAAAAGAGATAAAATGTTGCTGAATAAATATAAACACATTAAAACCTATGTTACCTTTCCTGGAAAGGTTTCATCAATCTCCTCCTGAAGCTTCTTTTGGATGTCAGGATTGGTAGCCAAATTGTGGGCCGTGAATCCCAGTGTACTGCTGCTGGTTTCATAGCCAGCAAAGATGAATATCATGGCCTGAGAAAGGATCTCATTATCAGTCAGGCCTAAAACAAAAACACACCGTGATTAGTCTATTATTAAGATCGTGAACTTAACCAAGTGAGAGCTTGCAACATCTGATTTGGACTCTGATTTATAAACGGGCAAATAATGTTGATTGGGTTGAAACAATCTCACATTTACTCTGCACTGTATCCACAAAACTTCAAAAATACCTTAACTTAATTATTCATAAAGGCCAAGAACACTGTATTATAAATATTTAAATATTTTAGTATTTAATCCAAAACTTGGCTTTTTATGTCGACTCCAAAAGTTAACTGTTGTTTGCAAAGAAGAAGCCCAAAGGAAGGAACTTTCAAAACAATACTAATGATTTTTATACATTTCATTAAGAGATTAAAATTTTACGCCCCAGCAAGTTGGAAAATACTGGAGGGCACACACAGTACACACACAAGGTATTCTGTTAATAACCCTTCAACCATGACACGAATGCCTGCCCGACCTTTTTTCTCAGAGTTTGTGTTCTCCTTGTTGTCCTCTGAAACCTGAGCATCCACCATCAGCTGCATAAAATCCACACGGCTCTACAAGACAAGAAAAGAAGAAATACACATTTGATGTCCAAACTATGTCCTTGTAAAAGCTTTGAAAGACTATCAAACCAGCAATGATTGTTTTCTTGTACCTTGTGTTCGTTCTTACTGCGGTCTGCTTTGATCCTCCTTAGAAAAGTGTAGAAGAACTCCAACACTGCGGCAGGGAAGAATGACAGGTCCATCTTCTCGAAAATGGGGCCAAGGAATGGAAACAGGACTGAAATAAAGAGATAATGAAAAAAGATAAAATGTAGAGGAGTACAAGGAAGACACTGTGATGACAGAATATTGTATGACATACCCAAAAACACCAGCAAGGGGTTCAGAAAGTTGAACTTGACCATTTTCTTAATGTTTGACACAAATGGATCTGAGGGATGGTTGATGGAATCAATGTCCACACTGAAGGCAGTGCTGGTCACAACATCCATACTGTAAGGTCCAAACACTCTGCAAGCAAAGTCAAACATGGCATCTAATTCAGTGAATGTGGGAAACAAAGAAGGGAAAAGTAAAACTTAACTAGTCACATGGTTGTGATAAGATGTGCCTCACATTTAAAAAAAAACATCACTCACTCTTTGACCTCAATGACTTCATCTGCTTCTACTTGCTTGTGAAGATACTTGGTCAGGTTTTTTGAGTGGTGCATCATTATCTTGTACATCTGTCCCAAAGCAAAAAGAAAAAAAAAACAAAACAAAAGATGAAAATCATCAAGCATCGACAGGCAGGAAGACAGGACCAACCTGTTTCTGCACACATGCACAAAGACAAAAGGAGTGTAGCTTTTCACCTCTTTTAGCCGACCGCTGGTGAAGGATGGGGACAATATACTGCGAATCCTCTTCCATTCCTCATCTTCAACTATTGAAACAGCATCACGCAGGGGTCCATTTAGGCCAAAATCCTAAACAACACCCACACACATACAAAGATGGTAACTTCTTTATATTATGCTCTTAACACAACAATGAAAAGAAGAATCTGACACTGTCCTCATAGTGTTTTTTCCTCACCCGTCTGTTCGTGAAAATTGAATAACACTCCTTGACCAGGATCATTTTGATCATAGCTGTGTCCATTACAGCCAGCACAGGCTGCCTGCCATCGTACAATCTGGAAATGCAAAGAGCAAATGCTGTCGTGACTCAGTGAAAGATTGGAGCATTCGATTAAAAATAGGTGTTGGACACAAGAAGACAATATTTAGGTCCTGTCAAGTCATTTGATTAGATGATAATTGATTTCACAGTTTGCAGAAACTTTGTTAAAAAGCAACATTGCAGTCAAGGTTGTGTGTCAGAGTATGTTTTGTTATTTAGTTTTCTCCTCGTCTTGTTTATTTGAGTGCTTTTTCTTCTGTGTGTTTTCCCTAGTGTTTCTGTTCGCTATTGTTCCTGTTCCCCTGTAGCCTTGTCTTGTGAGTTTCAGTTTGTGTCTGACCCTGTTTCCCTCATGGTTTCAGTGTTTTATTCTGTAGATCAGTTTTCAGTGTTTCCTGCTTTATTTTGTAGTACTCCATGCTTGTGTGTATAGTCTTGTTTACTTCCTCAGTTTTCGCTCCTTTGTAATTGTCTGCACCTGTGTCTCGTTTGCCACACCTGTTACTCGTTTCCTTGTGTGTATATATATACAGTCCCTGCCTCCCCCTGTTTATTTGTTGGTTCATTGTATGTTTGTCAGTGTGTGTGTGCGCGCGCGCGCATGCCTGTGTCCCCAGTTGCTCCCTGTGATTTCGTTCCAGTGATTTTTTTTGTGGATTTTGCCTTTTTGGATTTTTCTCTTTCTGTTGCTTTTTTATTTCATTCTTTTTAAATAAATCATTTTTTTTCCTGTTCTGTATTTTGGGTCCTTTCCCATTTTGTTTAACTCTGTATCGTGACATTGTGTGTTGTACAGATTATCAGCATGGTTGTGTTATCTCGGGTGATAGAACTACGGCAGTGGAGTTATTTAGCAGCACAACCTGGAGAGTTATATTTCCAAAGTGCATTTGGTTACATTGATATTAGTGCTGTCACAATATCAGATTTTCACCTCATGATTATTGTGACCATAAAATGTGGCGATAACAACATTATTGCCACATTTATGGAAAACTTGAAAACAAAACAACACAATCAGTATCAGGAACAAATTACTTCTTCAGCTTAACTAATAAATGCAAGCAGCCTGATGAGATGATTGTTTGTTGTGCTACTATACTATACTGTACTGCTTCACATTCTATTTACTTCCTCCAGAAGATTGAAAGTTACAGAACTGAATGGAATAGAACGTCCATAAAGAGTGAATGTTACATTGATTAGTAACGCAACAAGGCGGAAGCTCTAATGTTGTTTTTGGATCACAATTCAGCTCACTGTGGCCTCTTCTTAATCTCTAACATGTGGCAGGCTGCAAACAGGACCCCTATTATGAACTCACATTATGACTGTATGCTTATTTTTTGTACAACATCAATATTTTATTTTCTTATAAAGACAGTTATTGTTGATACTGTCATGATATGTTCTGTTGATTAGAGCTTTTCCCTGGTTTTGTTATTTGAGTGTATTTTCTTTGTGGTTTTTCCCTGTGTTTCTGTTCCCTAATGTTCCTGTTCCTCTGTAGTCCAGTCTTGTGATTTTTCAGTTTGTGTTTGACCCTGTTTCCCTCATGTTCTCTGTGTTTTATTCTTTAGATTAGTTTTCAGTTCCTGTTTTATTTTGTAGTAGTTGATTCCTTGTGTTTCTAGTCTAGTTTCACTTCCTTAGTTTTCCCTCCTTCGTTAATCATCCACGAGTTTCACCTGTGTCTCCTTTGTTTCACCTGTTGCTCATTACCCAGTGTGTATATAGTCTCTCTCTTTGCCTCTGCTCTTGTTGGTTAATTGTAAGTATGTATGTTGATGTGTGTGTATGCTTGAGTCCCCAGTGATTTTTGGTTCTTTGGATTTTGCTTCTTTTGCCTGTGAATTTTTCAGTTAGACATTCAAAGTAAGTTTTTGTTGCTTATTATTTCGTTAATTAAATAAATCATTTTTTGTTTTGCTTTTTGGGTCTTTTTCTTTGTTTACCCCTGCAAGGGCGTGGCAGATACCAGTATATTGCAACATCCTTCACAAAACACTGCATATCAACTTACCCCCACACCTTCCCATATTTCTGAAAGCATTCTGTGTCAAAAATGTGGATGCCCTGAAAAAAAAATCAGATAAAGATAAAGTCATTTTCTGCAAAGTATCTTCCCTCATACCTGAACCACTCAAGCAAAAGTGTCTCACCCTTCTGTACTCCAAAAATGTCCCAATAAATGGCAGAGGTTTTGGTCCTGGGATGCCTAATTTCTTGAAAAAGCCATATGGTGCATATCCATATCTGAGGAAACAAAGTACAATAAGATAAAAATAAGTTGATACAAAAAAAATAAATAAATAAAAAAGGAAACAATCAGATCAAGGGCTAATCATTAATCAATTGTCAGTTATTATTTGGAGAAATACCCCTTTAACTGCCTTTGAAAAACTATCAAAAGTGTGTTGAAAGACACTATTCAGAAAGGATGAATTGTAGCCCCCTAACCCTCAAATTTATCTGTCTTCCTAAATGATCAATCCACTACGATACAGTTTAAGCGGACAATAGAATGGACTGATTATTGTTGATTTTGGCTCCCCCTGTGGACAAAGTGATCACTTTAATCTCTTGTGATATTTTCACACATAAACCTTATCACTTTCTTCTAAAAAAGTAAAATGTTTCACTTCCTGAGAATGTTCCATGGTAAAAAGCAAAAAAAAATAAAAATAAATCATTTTGAACATTATTTCATCCACACATATTTTTCATTTTTAATATACGATTGCTGAATTTAATTGTCCTCAATATTATGTTTATTTAAGTAACCTACATTTGCCAACATGATAATTTATCTCAACAGAGGTTCACTCTGTCTGTTATAAGGCTATTTGTGTCTAAATTACCTTAAGTGACCAGACAGGGTTGTAGTGACTGGCTGTAAATTGAATGCATTTACTATTTCCAGATGATATGCCAAAATGTTGCAGTGAAATCTGTTTATTGAGTTCAAATAGAGGTCTGACCATGACATTAGCCACATTTCTGCTGTCCTAGTCATAAAGTCACAAAGTTCTATTAATTTAAAGGCCACTGCAAAACTTTTTACACATACATTAAATTTGACCTTTAATGTGGCCTCAGTCTATCTGACAGCTTATATCTTAACCAGCCCTTTTTTATATCACATCTCTCTATGTGCTAGATTGAATTTTTCCTCATTTGACCTGACGACAAGCCCAGTGAGCCATTGTCAAAGGGAAAAATAACCTGTATACGTGTGCAAAGCTTTCAAATCCACATTACAAAAACTTTCAGCTTTACACAAATACCTAAAGCTTCTACACACCCTGGTCACGCCCACACAGGCTTCTAGCCTGTTTTGCCTATACAGTGACCTCTGCTCAGCATTGTCGGGTGGGAAGACTTAGTAATGTCTTACCTTTCCAGGAGTTTTTCTCAGCTTTTAAGTGTGTTGCTGTATTTAATTTTGTGGACTACTGGGACAGAAAATATGAAACCTGGGAGAGGTGTGGACCCTGAAAGATTGATGGAACCTGCGCTGATGGGCTGAGACGTTATGTATTTGATCATTTAATACCTTAATATAAATACTGCTAATCTTGTTTTTTTTTTTTAATGGGAAATCCACCTTAAATAGAGCTATCATCATCTCTGTAGAGTTACTTATTTTGGCATATCAATTCATTGTAGGATTGTGGTCATTAAGGGGCCATGTTTGCCCTAAGCCATGTTTGCTTTGATTATGTAACTGTATACTGTGTAGAGACCACAACTTTGTGTCTTTATCTTTAACCAACAGTGGGCCAAATCAGCTGCAATTTTTTGAACTTTAAAAAGTTAAGATGTCCAGTAGGCTACAGATTATATTTTATACTTTAATAATCTTTTTGTTCTTGATTTTTTTCTACTTTATTTAAATCATTATGCAGTTTCGTCCCAATAAGCCTAAAATTAATCTCTCCAGTAGTGGTATAAACAAAAAAGTGTCCAGCTGAGTTTTTCGAAGAAATGAAATTGAAGTTCTGGATAACTGTGTTGCAACACATCTGTCCCACTGAGCCAAGTCCGTTCTCAACGCGACTTTACTCGAACATTTCATCGATGTTTTCGCCGACAACTTAACCGAAGAAAATCAAAATGAGCTCAGAGTCCTTTCATACCCCTTCCTAAATATCCCTGAAACCGAAAGTCTTTGAGATAAACAGCAGAGTTCATTATCATCGTCTAAATCCAGACTGTTGTCATTTTTCTCCAAGCGCTGGAAAAGGTGAACATAGTCGCATACTCACATTACAATGAGAGTGATGACAATTGCTATTAAAGTCCAGGTTTCGACTGACAAGTCCGGAATCCAGCCCATGTTGCCTTCAAGCGCACTCTTCGTTGATCTGAGTTCAGTCACTTCCCCCTGTGGTTTTGTTGAAACTCTGTTTGAAGGCGGGTCCACGACGAAAACATACAGGTTATGTAATCAGCCATAATGGTCCAGTCCAAGTTACTTGGACCTCTGTTCTTAGAGACAACCACTGTCATATTTATTTCACCCCTCATTTTCCTAAATACCTACTACTACTACTATTACTACTACTACTACTACTACTACTACTACTACTACTACTAATAATAATAATATTATTATTATTATTAATAATAATAAAAATAACAATAATAATAGAGAATAGTAGTGGAGGGTGGGATTTTGCTGCTGGACGTCCTCTGGTTTTCTGGTTATTTTACAAGTTGCATTGTCAACTCCCCAGTAGCATTTCACCAGTCATTAGCTTTATACAGGCAAAAATTCTGAACTGTGGGGTAACTGGACCCCTTGAAGCCCTTTGTATACATCTAAAAGTTTACAATTTCAAATTTCATAGATAGCCTTTATTCAGTCAGTTTTGTCTCTACACAAACTCCATTCTCAGATTCTCATCTGATTGTCAGCAAAGGCGACAGGAAAAAAGGAAGCCATGTGTGGTTTTCCATCACACTTAGGAGAATACATTTTTGCTCAATAACAGCTGTCAGCATCTGAGTGTGATAGTCAGGTGATATGGTTGATCATGACCTTTGCTGCTTGTAGGGTCATCTTGTTAATCAGCTGGATGTTTCGTAATTCTTGGGCTGGTTTCATCAACAATAGGGCCACCCTATGCAATGGGAGTCATTCCCAGGATATCAGATAAATAAAGACGAAGGGAAAAGACAATGCAATGATATGTTGTGTTAATTTAGTTTTTCCCTGGTTTTGTTATTTGAGTGTATTTACTTTGTATTTTCCCTCGTGTTTCTGTTCCCTATTGTTCCTGTGATCCTGTCTTGTGAGTTCTAGTTTGTGTTTGACTCTGTTTCCCTCATGCTGTCTGTGTTTTATTCTTTAGATCAGTTTACAGTCTTTGTAGTAGATGATTCCTTGTGTTTCTAGTCTGGTTTTACTTCCCTAGTTTTTCCTCCTTGGTTAATTAATCACCTATGACTTTCACCTGTGTCTCGTTTGCCTCACCTGTTGCTCGTTTTCCAGTGTGTGTATATAGTCCCTGTCTTCCCCTCTTGCTGGTTCATTGTATATTAATGTGTAGGCTTGTGTCACCTGTTGCTCCCTATGATTTTACCCCACAGATTTTTGTGTCTTTTCTCTTTTGTTGCTCTTTTCATTTAGTTCTTTTAATTAAATCATTTTTTATTCTGTCTTTTTCTTTGTTTTATCCTGCACGCCGTGACATAAAAGGCCTGTCGTCCATTCATCATAATTCAACTGCTCATGTTGATGCATAAAATAATTTGTATGTGTAAACAATAATTGAATTATATGATAGTTAAACTCTGAAAACATATTAAGGCTTTCTGTCAGACAGGCTTTTCCCACAGTAAACATGCTGACTTATCACTGTGGCTCAACTGGAACCAACACCTTTGACAGTGAGGACTCTGGACCTCAGGCAGCTGATTGGAACGGTTCTCCATGACTGACTATTAAAAAAAACTTTCCAATACTTGTAAAAAAAGATCTGTAAAAAGGCACAACACAAATATTTGTACAACTTACAACAGGCTTTGAAGAACTAGAATGGAAGAAGCTACTAACCACATGGAGAAATATACAGTAGCCTATAAAAACACTGCACTACAAAACTGTCAAGTTTTACTCTTAGTTTAACACAATTCTGACCAGATGTGACAGCTCACGGTATTCAACTTTGGTCTGAGCGCTGTGCAGTTGGAGTTAAAAGTCAAAGGATGATAACTTCTGATCTTTAGACATATACTGTATATCATGGTCACTGCTGTGTGTCACATACAGTACAGGGCACAAGTGACAGAGTTACATAATGATGAAGATTAGTGATGTAACCCAAAGGAAAATAGATACTCACAGCTGAACTTTAATGGCTGTAGAAAAAAAAGACACATTCAGCACCAAACAAGCTGTTTTAGATCATTACTTTAAAAAAAGCATTCAAGCAGGTAATTCTAATTTTAAATGTCTTGGTACAAGATGTTGATCTGTTCTTTTTTCCTATAAACAGGTTTGACAGCCTTGTCTAAGGTGATTAGTCACGCTGATTGGTGCTGCACAGAAGTCTTGGCCAATCAAGGAGAAGTGCGCTCCACCTTCGCTCAGGAGATTTTTCATTCATTCCATTAGTCCATCTACCTCTGTGTAACTGTGTGTTGTTTCTCTGTGAGGCAGTCATCTAAATTGGGCCAGAGAGGGTTAGACTTGAGACTTTCATATTCACTGTAAGGATCATTCTTTGTTATGCTCATTGGGTTAGGGGTGCTGTTCGTTTGTCATTTCTATTTGGTTAGACGAGTTAGTGGGATTTTAAAGAGCAGTGTCTCTGTGTTGATGCTCGGTTAGAGAAAATTTTGGTTTTCCTCATTTTGTTGATTTGAAGAGCACTCTTCAGCCATTTTCTGATCTTTTTTATGGTTTAATTGAACTTCCTTGTAATAAATAACACTTAATACCACCTACAAACTGGTTTTATGTTGCTTCCCTTTCCCCTTGGCGAGTCGGGTTGTACTACTTAGTCTTGACTGAAATTGCTCGGAACATTATTAAGCTTCTTCCTGAGAGCTATCACTGCAGTCAACAACAACAAATCCAGTTGAACCTGTCCCCCTCAACCAACATATATACTGATCATATTGATCACAGTGCAATAAATGAATCATTTATCCGTGCAATAAAACTGGGTTTCACTGTGCAAAAATCAGGTTTTCATATCATATCCTGTTTGTATATATCTGTATATTTTACTGCCTTTTACATTTCTTATCTTTGTGTTTTTAGTGGTTATTTTTAAATACTATTGTTTTGCACCAAAAGGTGGACGCTCAAATTTCGTTGTGCTGTGTACAATGATAATAAAGGCGATTCTGATTCTGAATTTGAAGACAAAATTAAATTACTGAGATGAATTATGAGACTCTAAATAACTTCTGAATTGTAAGATCTGCAAAGATTTTACATTAACTAAAAATAATGTCCCTCCAACTAATGCCAAGACAACTTTGCATTAGTTGGAGAGACTAGTTAGCTTTCTACCTTGACATAGTATCTTTATGTTGACATCACTAAACCACAATAGCGATCATAACTCAAAATAATTAACATAACTAGTTCTCTTTTGATTTTAAGTCAAGACAGCTTATCACTTTCAACAGTGTGCTGAGGAGGGGATGAACCATCTGTTTGCAAAGCAAAGCTGCAATGCTTCAAGTTGTGGCCCTGACATTTTCACATAACGACTACTTCTGTGGCCGTTTGAGAGGCAGTTAAATAACTTTTCTCATAATAGATAAATTGGATCTTCAGTGGGGTAAAATGGCATAAGGCCTGCCATTTATGAGCCATAAAAAAGCCAGTTTACTGCAGGCAGTTTTATTATTTGAGCCCTGCTCTCTGATAACACCGAGCAGGATCCAGTGTTTGAACTGCACTGCTTACAAGGTTATTTCTTTTGAATAAAAATAACCTGGCAACAAAACCTCCTTCAACCAACTGTATCAACCCATAACATTACTTATGCAAAAATCGTCCTTGCTCTGAGCCATCAAAGTTATTTGATTTTCCTAAATTAGAGAAATTATAAGCAAAACAAAGACTGGGAATCACCAGAGAGACAGAGAAAAATGGCTCGACCTGTCAGCTGAGTTAGTCAAAAATATTGCAATGTAATGTGAGGAGGCTGCCTTTGGCTGTGGCAGGGTCAGCTGAGAATTTTTCTCATTTCTTCTCTTGTATTTCTGTAATCTCATGTGAATTCATCAATGTCAACAGTTTTACAAATGCTTATCTGCCCGAAGCACTACACTGAGTAACTGGCAAAAAAAAAGCCGCTGCTCTCTGTTTGGCTCAGATCAATCTCGCAAAGATGAGTTGTGGTGTTATTGAGATGTGAGAGAGGGCTGTGAGAGACTTATTAGATGGTGAAGGGAGGCCAGAGGAAACAGAAAAACCAATGATGAGGTCTGAGCACAAGAGAGAGGCAAGAACTGTGCACTTATACACAAAACTTCATATTTCACTGAATTCCTCCAGAGTCCAAAGCTGACATTTTTAAAGCTTGTTTTAAGATGTGTTTTGGTACCTTGCCACTCACTGCTCAATCACCACCCTTTATTGCAGTTGAACACTCAGTACAAGTTGTCGACAGAGTCATTAGAGCTGCAGTTACATAGTTTTCGATGCTATTCTGAGGGGAAGAGAGATTAGGAGGTGTGTTAATGGCAGCTGGGTGGCTGATGCATCCTCCAGATGTTGTCTGGGAGATGTTAATTGACCTGCTAATGAAGCCTGAGCGCCGCCTGTCAGCTTGGAGCCATGGAGAGTCTGTGACATTGGAAGGGACACCTGCCTATCTGAGAGCGAGCCTGAGTGGCTCACAGTCCTTGCATCCATCTCTGTCTCCATCCTTTTTTCTTTTTCTTCTACACACTCTCACACCCTTTTGGCTACTCCTCCAATTTTCACAAAAGTAGCAGAGCATGGGCTCCAAAGTTAATTTCACCCTTGTGTGAACGGCCCTAGTTATTTGGAGGGTGGCCTGGTAAATGTCACCTTCTGTAGCCAGTTGGGTGTGTGTGTGCCTGTGGGTGTTTGTGTGTCTCCTGCCTTTGCTGCCGTGCTCTTGTAAGCAGTGCCTGGTGAGTCATGCTGGGGAGAGCTGGGAATGTCCGCCAAATGTTGGACAAGGGGAGAAGATGTTTAAATTGCAGCATAGAGCGTAGAGACAGAGGACAGTCGGTGCCAGGTTGTGCAAAAGGTGAGAGCAAAGTTATTTTATTGCAGAATCACTCGTTTAAGAGCAAAACCAGAGACTGAAATCTTGATTTCGCCACTTATTCCTAATAGACGGTGTAATTTATATGACTGTATCATCATATTGAATTTGGTCTGGGATGTTTTCACCAGCAGAGGGCAGTGCAGGACAAT